TTTCAACGCTGAGAGGCTTTGGTGTCTTACTGCATTTCAGTATCACCCACAGAAAGCCAGGCGGTGTTTAGACCCCAGGGAAAGCAAACGTCCCTTGGTCCCTAAAAAACCCGGCAAATCCCCCAGCCGCCTTGGAGCAGACCTCGGCAAGTGTCTGCCTTCCGTGTTATAGCAGAACACTTCCCATCAAGCCCGTGGCGAGCTTTTGTTTTGTTAATTAATGGAACCTGTTGAGCCTTCTCAGGAACCTCTCAGAGGGTAGCGCTGCTTACTCTTCCCTCCTTAGGATTTCTGCCCTCAAACCGCAACAAGCGGGCGCTGCCCTGTGTCCCGCACTGACACTTTCCCTGGCCACGCCCTCCATGGGGGTGGAGTCAGCAGGACCAAAGGGACACGCCCATTAGTGCTCCCCCGTGCTCTGGAAATCCAGGACTCCGAATTTCCTGCCCCAACAGCCTCTGACCCACTTTGGTGTCCGCACAGCTTCTTCCCAGAGCTCATCTTCCCAAGGACTTGGGGCACGGCCAGAGGGCAGCTGTCTGCCCAGAGGGTGTGTACAGAGCCTGGACGTGAGGTCTAGGTGTCCCTACATGTGCACACAATGCCACTTGTGGCATGAACTGGACCCCACATTGGGAGGAAAAGGCTCAGACTAGTGGTTAGAGACTGGGAATCATATCACCCCCCACCAGTGTCATTTTTGTGTGTGTCCCACTGGGGACTCCAGTGAGTCTAAGAATTCTAAATTTGAACTTGGCCTTCCATCCTATTTTGAATGTATATTTATAAAAGCAGGAATTTAGAATCAATTTAACTTAAAATGTTTAGCTATATAGGATGTGAGCTTCCAGTATACTCTGGCCTTGTACCCCAAACGTCCAGAGCAGTTACAGTGGTCAGGGAGGCCCCTTGTTGGCCCTGCAGAGATTATAGGAGGCAAAGACCACTTTTAGAGAGGAGGGGCTCTGTTTCACTCTCTGAAATCAGGATCTTCTGAACGGATAAAACAATGGAAACTGAGAACATCAAGTTTATTAGCATGATCCCAGAGGTGTGTGAGTGTGTGCGTGTGTGTGTGTGGTTGCTTTATGTGTGAAGGGTTATGTGGGGTTGAGTGTATTTCCCTGTGTGTTTGTGAGTGTGTCCCCATCCATTAGTTTCAAGAATAGTAGAAACTGTCCTTTAGAAGTCTGAGGTAGTGAAAATTTTATGGTGTCCCTCACTGTGTGATTCAAAATCACAAGTCACCCCAAATTAGTCCCCCCAAATTTTTTCATTTTAACAGATGTAGAAACTGTAGCTTAGAGATAATGAGTGACTTGCCCAAGGGCACAGAGCTCATGAGCCCAGGGCCAGGATTCAGTCCAAGCAGTGTGGTTCCAGGGCGCTGGGATCCTGCTCACTATTGTGTGTGGCCTCCTGGCCAGGAGAACAGGTTCTGATGAGTTGGGCCAACGTGCAGGCTGCCCAAAAGGTGTGGACTCCGGAAACCAGTCAGTGAGTACTAGATATTAAATAAGTGTTAAGGGCTGCTCAGAAATCAATATCTTAGGTCTTTGATGAGTAAGGAGGCTCACTGCTCATCCCTGATTCCTTTGCTGTTGACTGAAGGGTACTAAAGCCCATGACAGCACTGCTTGGGGCTGCCTGGCAAAACATGGAACAGTGCTGCTTGGAGCTGTTTCTTCATGGGAAGCCGAGAAAGGAAACGTCGCCTCCTAGTGGACATCTTTGGTAGTGGGAGTAGGAGACCTAGCAGACTGCAGTGATGGCGCAGGAGAAAAGGCAAGGTAGCGTTCTTGTTTTAGTGGATGATGGTTTTCAAATGTCTTAAAAATTCCTGTTTCATATATTTTATTCATTTCTTTTTGGGATTTTTTAGGAGAGATAATTGTCTCTGTTACTCTATCTTAACTGGATTCTTAATGATTCCCTTTTTTTTTTTTTAGGAAAGATAATTGTCTCTGTTACTCCATCTTAGCTGGATTCCTAATGATTCATTTTCTATTGTTATTTTTCTGTTCAATAATTTGGAAGCTTATATGGTCTTTTAATGAAGACTATTCCTAAATTTTTATAAATCATCTCTAAGTTCATAACCTTATATGTAATTGAACCAGTATTTCCATAACGGTCTTAAAAATGAAATAACCTATTAGATCCCTTTCATCAATAATGATTAATTTAGCATACTGTACTTCTCTGATGTTCCAAGTGTGTGTTTGTGTGTGTGTGTGTATTCCAATAACTACTTTTTAAACAATTGCTCCCAGTTTGTTAAATTGACAATGAAATATTAGACTTAGGTATAAACTTATTTAATTGCTCATGACCATTTTTTAATCCCATGTCCTTCCATTTTGAGTTATTTACTTGTACTAATTTCACAATCAACTGGACACGATTGGCTAATTTTTTCTAATGCTGGACTTGGGATCCTTCCCTGTCTGAACACTATGCTCTCCTCATTCGTTGATGATATTCAACCTTTGACTGCCCATGCCTCATTTTAGAATATGGCATTGTTTTTCATCATCAAAATTTATTTTTCTTGATTTAAAGTGCTCCCTTTTCATGACTGGCTGGTCTTTTCTAATAAGTGGATATTAATAAAGATTTTCTTAACCTCTTCCTGCTTTTTGTAGTAATTCAGCTTCACTGAGGAGTACATCTTCCCACTTCTCAGACTGGTTCCCGCATTTGAATTGCTAAATCACTACCACACTGTTATTCTCCCTGTTTATTGCTGGAAGAGTGAGATCTTTATCTGATTAAAGACAGTCCCATCAGAGGTGCGTGGCTCTCTGTCCAAAGGTCCAAAGGAAGAGAAAAGGAAAGATTTTTGCATCTAAAGGTTACATTTTGTCAGATTCGTGGTCTAGTTATCTGTGTGGCACAGTGGACCATGCAATAACTTGACTGAAAACTTCCTTTTTCATATTTATTAGGGTGGCCAGCACTAGCTGGGGTCCCAGCACTCTAACCCTTGTCAGGATCCTGGTGCTGAGGCATCTCATCTTCCCCTCGTTACTGAGACCTTGAAAATAGGGTTCCAGCTGTGTGAACCCTGGACCTGGCTCTCTGCCTTGAGGCCAGGTCCCTGGTCCCCCATCCCCCGCCCCCGGCCACATCTCCTCCTCCTGTGTCCTGGGCATCCCTCACTGCTATCAGTTATCTGGCTTCCACTGTGGGTCCCTTCCCTCTCCTCAGCAGGCTGGCTCACCTTTCACACATGGTTGGTTAACCTTAAATCTTCCTTCTTGCACTTTATTTCTTGTTGTTCAGTTGCTAAGTCATGTCTGACTCTTTCCAATCACATGGACTGCAGCATGACAGGCTCCTCTGTCTTCCACTGTCTCCCAGAGTCCACTGAAATTCATGTTGATTGAGTTGGTGATGCCATGCAACCGTCTCATCCTCTGCCACCCCCTTCTTTTGCCCTCAATCTTTCCCAGCATCAGGGCCTTTTCCAGAGAGTTGGCTTTTAGCATCAGGTGGCCAGAGTCTTGGAACTTCTGCATCAGTCCTTCCAGTGAATATTCAGGGTTGATTTCCTTTAGGATTGACTGGTTCAATCTCCTTGCAGTCCAAGGGACTCTCAAGAGTCTTCTGCAGTACCACAATTTGAAAGCATCAATTCTTTGACCCTCAGCCTTCTTATGGTCCAACTCACATCCATACGTGATTACTGGAAAAACTATAGCTTTGACTATATGCATCTTTGTTGGCAAAGTGATGTCTCTGCTTTTTGATATGCTGTCTAGGTTTGTCATAGCTTTCCTTCCAAGGAGCAAGTATGTTTTCATTTCATGGTTGCAGTCACCATCCGCAGTGATTTTGGAGCCCAGGGAAATAAAATCTGTCACCGCTTTCACTTTTTCCCTCTCTATTTGCTATGAAGTGATGGAACGGGATGCCATCTTAACTTTTTGAACATTGAGTTTTAAGTCAGCGTTTTCACTCTCCTTTTTCACCCACATCATTAGTTCCTCTTCGCTTTCTACCATCAGAGTGGTATCATCTGCATATCTGAGGTTGAGGTTGTTGATATTTGAAGAAAGCCCTCAGTGTTTCTAGCTGGCGGAGGGCACTCTGCCCCCATTTTTGGATGCCTTTAGCCACCACAGTGGAAATTTAGGAGGAGGAGGCGCTCATGGCTTTGGGCCGGGGGAGAGCCTCAGCTCCTGGGGGAAGCCCGTGGGGACTTTGGGGCACCTGGATACAAAAAGAGGCTGCATTGTGGAAACAGTGGGCCTGGGAGTGGTGGTTGAGTCTGTCTCTGTGGGGGTCTCTTTGCTCAGGACACTGGGTAGTGAGCAGTGGGGAAGAACTTGGGTCACCTAGAAGAACTTGGTTTGCTTTTGAGCTTTACATATTTACCCATGGCCCAAGACAATTTCTGAGGATGATTCCTCATCTGTATAATGGGTAATATTAATAGGATTGTGCTCTTAGTTTATGGGGATTAAATGAGGTGCTATAAGTTGCTTAAACAGAGCCTGACTGATGTGTGTGGACCTTCAACAAACACCGGGCCCCTTATTTGAGTAAAGATGAGCTGGGAGGGGCAAAACAGTTCTTCCCTCCTCTTCTTTCTCCCGTAGTATCTCTGTTCCCCTTTCACTCTTCAAGGTGACATATAAGCTCCCCCACCCACCCTCACTGTCCTCTGATTCTGGAACCTCTTTCTGTTCCAGTCTGTGAATTTGTTCCCTGCTTCCCTGTGGGGCCCACCCACAGGTTTGTTTCTGCAACTCCCTCCCATCCAATCCATCTGAATGGACTGTCCTCCACACAGCCATTCACAAATCCACACGGCCTTTCCCTTCTCAGAAGGCTGTAGCATTTTATCACCTCCCTCCCCAGTCAGAACTCAATATATCCAACTTTCCACGCAAGAGGTCTCTGGGATAAAAGTTCCCACGTAGGGAGCACCCCTCTGGCTTCTGAGCCCCACAGAGCCGGAAAAACTGGGTAGCCGACAGAGAGGGGTCACACACTGGGAAGCCAAGCATGGTAGATTTACTAGGGTAATATCTGCAGGTGAGAAAACAGCACATACATACAGAAATCCAGGGGCAGAGATATCACCTGGCACCACAAACACCAAAGCAGCGGGGGCTCAGCAAGTGGCTTTGGAAAGTTCTCTTGAAAATCCAAGGGCAGCTTTGGTGCTCAGAGATTCAAACAGAAAACTGTACAAAACCAACCCATAAATATATATATATATATTATATTATATATGTGTGTGTGTATATATATAAAAATTGCAAAATAAAAGCCCAAGAAACTAGTCAATCTGCACACCAGTGGCTCAAAAAGTGTTAGCATAAAGGCAAAACCCTTTGTGGGGAGGATGCACAATCCGGGGGCTGGCATTTCAGTAGCAGAAAGAGTATTTACATGGAACCCCTATTTGAAACCTCACAATACTAGGAAAAGCTAAACACAGACCAGGTATGTACAAGGGGAAGACGATTGTCAGACACAGACGTATCACCGAGACCATCCACAGCTTTAGAGAACACTGCACTCCACCAGGGCCCCTGTGCCCTGCCAGGCCAGCCAGGCTCAGGACTAGTTCTGCACCCCTTCTCCCCGCACTGGGAGAGGGCTGGGACTCGGCGGTGTAGCATAGTTTACAGAAGTTTCAAGGTGGAGCAGCCTGTGGAGATCAATCACCCACAAAGCAGGACTGATAGGCATGGGGTAGAGTTGAAATGTAGGGGTTGGGGTCCCCAAGATCTATTCCCATTTTATGAAGGCTTTGATGTACTTAATGCAGCCCCTGTCCTGGGTCCACCTGTCTTCCTCCTTCTGGTTCACTTTCAAAGAGAAGATCTTGCCTTTGCATGTCTCAGAATTATACAAGATTCTGGGGAAAAGAGATTAGGGCTTTTCTTGCTCTTCTCCTACCAATCCCCTCAAGGCCTCATTTTCTTCACACTGCTAAGAGTGAGGGGGGTTTATCCATCACTGCTGCTTGGGAAGAGTGGGTGAGAAATGTCAGGGGCTGACTATCCGGGGGCAGCCACTGGTACTTCCCCAGGCCAGCCTCGCCCAAGTCCCTCCTCACATCAGTAATGGCGACCACCCCTTCTCTGTCTTCAGGCCCCAATGTCTCATAGTGATGACTCAACTCTGGGGGCAATCTTGAAGGCAAAGGTCACCAAATATCAATTTGGCAAAACTTCATACCACCTAAGTACAAACCAACACGAACCACAACTTCTACACTTCTAAGAAAACCCTAACCGAAGATTCTCCCTCATCATTCCCAAAAGGAGAAGCCTGTCTATATGAAAAGAATGCAAGGTGCTTTCTCGGGTCGAGAGGGACACCCCGCCTGGAACCCTCATGCCGAGTCCTGCGTAAGGTGGCTTCTCACTGTGCGAGGCTGAAGAGGGATCGGTGTGCATGGGTGACAGGCCTCTACCTGTGCACTCAGTTCTGGTAAAAAGGAGGTCACGTCCATGCCTAGACAGGAGGTCTGGCGCTCATCACCCTACTGTGTACTGTGCACATTTTTCATATTGTGGCACCCGTGGACCTGCCCACAGATAAACAGCCAACGAGCACATGAGTCAGCTCAGGCCTCTGACACTCTAAAGCACCCCTCTCAGAACAGATGTGGAGCTGTGGTCACAGAACGTCCCTCCAGGTTTTCAACTGTGAGGATCCCTGTCGTTTCTGAGGAGGTGGAGAGCACAGATGTGTCCCCTCCTTCATTCCTTCTCAGACTCTTTAAATGTTATCATCTTAGGCTTGAGCTCATGTGGTACAGAAGATGTAAAAGGACCTGCTTCTTCTGCGTTCAGAGAGACAACTGCAAAGTACAGCCACCTCGAGGGTTGCCACTGGCCCACATGAGGATCCTGGGGGAAGGCAGTAACTTTTTTCATTTGTTCAATAGACAAAAACTGCATACTCCTGCCTGGAGCTACAGCATAAAATGTATCCTCATGCAAAAGATGGCACAGAGGCTGAGGGTGGGCTATGTGTCCATCCGCCCCTCTGCCTACCTCCATGGAAAAATCCACCCTTCTTTTCCATCTTCTAGGCTTTCAGAAGTGAACTGTGCTGTTGGGTGAATGGTTCTCTCAAACCCACAGCAACCAGAGAAGTGGCCCCATGGCCCTTCTCCCCATGTTGACTGTAGGAGTCCTCTGTGATGACAGCCCCGAGCCACATGCATGACTGTCTTGCCCCATTCAGGAGTGACCGACATACCACTGGGCAGGGGGCAGAGGCTGGGCTCCATGGAAAATCAGTGGTCTAAGAGTGATGCTCCCCAGTGGGGTTCCTACTGGACCAGGCTTCTTATCCAGCTCCCTCCCACCAAGTCCTTTAAAAAGAATTCATCTCTCTATAGAAGAACACCATCTTCTTTACAGGAGCGTAGAGGGAGTTTACTTTTATCTGTATAACCTGGCCAAAGTCAGACAGTGACTTGGGTCAGGTCTGGAGGCTCTTATGGAGCACAGATCTGTGCTGGTCTCTTTGCAGCGCTTTTTGTAAAGTTTCAGGGAAGTTTGTGCATGCTCTCACACGTCACTGCTGGGTGCCAGCCCATGCACAGAGAGCCACTGAGGCCAAGCTTGCGTCTCCACAAGCATCTCTCCCTCTGCCTCCTCACTCCCACACCTGCCTGTCTTCTCAAGGAAACAGGCTCAGAAACCACTCCACTCCCCAGTTCAGCCTCCAGACCGCAGCTTGTTTGTCTACACTTTCTCATCCTTTTCCATTGTATAGCTACACTTTACTGGAAACTATCCTATGGCCTAACAATTTTGAGCTTCCCATATGTACATTTTCTCCAGACAGAAAACTGGTCAAAGTATTCAGCCAAACTTTTATTCAGAGCCAAAGAACACGTCCCTTCTTCTCATCCTAAGAGCCTGTGGTCTTGTTTGGCCCCCACGCCTGCTTCTGTAGCACTCAGAGCACGGCCTCTGAGCCCCACCAGCATTTCCTACACTCGCGAGGGGAGGAGAAAAGGACTGCGGGACACCGCAGCTCTCCTAGCAACTCTAGCCCGAGACAAAACAGAACCCCAAACTGCACTGAGCACTAGCTCTTTGACTATCCCTTCTCCTCACTGTAAAGTTCTCATCAGACGCCTTCTCCAGAGAATTTCATGGGAATGAATTCTGCACTGCAAGCTCACTATTTGCTATAAAGATAAAGGCAGTGTAAGGCAGCTTACCACACCTGTTTCGGCGCTGATGTTTCAGAAATTCCTCCTCATGGAGTCCTCCCAATCCTCCAGCACTGTCCCCGCATCACCACCCCGCCCCCCACGCCCTCCACTCCATTCTCCACTCAGCCACCAAAGGAATTTTTCTAAAATGCAACCTGCTCTTGATCTACCCTGACCACAGCCCTCAGCAGCTCCAGACACTGTACATGAGGAAGTCTAGCTCCCTCACACCTTCTACCAGTTTCTTTATAATCCACCCTGCTCACCCATGAACTGAAGCCCACCTCCCACCTCACACTGTCTGTCCCAGCAACATTGAATCACTCCATGGACACACCTGACATTCCAAACTTCCAGGCCTTTGCACATGCACTTCAACTATCACCATTGTCCTGCTCAGCCTCTTGTCCTCCTGGAAAATTTCTCTTTGTTCTGAAAACCTAACTCAAGCATCACTCCTTGCAGGAAGGTTTCTCTGGCCTGGAAGATAGTAAATTGATGCCTCCTTATGCCACCTCCACACCCTTGCCTATTCTGTAACATGCCTCCTAGACTTGGGAGACCTCCTCTGGGCAGGGACAGTCCTCAGGCCTGGCCCATGACCCAAGCTCATGCATGGTTTTTGAACACATGAAGAAGGAACAGATGGATGGATATGAGGTGGCCCCACGGCATAAACTCCTGCAAGGCACGTTCATCTAAATGAGGCCTCCCTGTTGTAAAGAGAATGGAGAGAATTTGTTGAAAGCAAAGAGTCAGTCAAGATTCTTTGAGCTACAGTCACTCAAACAGAGAAAGCTGCACCAGTGGCTGTGTCCATCCTACCTTGCTCTTACCACCACCTGCCACTGACTATTCTAGTCACAACGATTGTTTTCTTTTAATGTCAGCATAGTGCCTGCTGCTAAGTGGATCCTTAACAAATATCAGGATGAATGGATGGATGTGAAATAGTTTTCCTTAAAAGAAGGCATCAAAGGATTGGCTTTGAAAGGCATTTCCCACATCACAGACGTTTCTGACCTGGGTCGTCCATCACAAGATTTGACTCAGAAGTAAAACAGAGGAGTCTGGGCAGCAGTTAGGAATCTGCTCTAGGGACACCCAGTATCGGGCTTTCTTTAGTGATGTGTCAGTTTCATTTCTTCGCCCTATCCTTACCAACTATGGATGGTACTCCTGGCCCCAACCAGAAGGCTCTGGCCTCTCCTTTGTCAGAAGTCCACACTAGCCCAGCCACAGCCGACAGTCACCAGGAACTTACTTTGCACTGATGGGAGAAAAGGTGGGTGGTCTCCCACCTTCACTTATGCAGTGGAGAACCTGTTGCAGAAACGAAACAGTCCTGGACTAAAACAACCACTCTTGGGAAGTAAAGTTTTCTGATCATCACAGCTGCTAAGTGCAAAGGCTCTGACTCTGACAGACCTGGATTCAACCCAGGCTCTGGATCTTTCTAGCCAAGTCACTGAAACAAGTCAATTATCTTTTGGGGGGCTCAGTTTTCATACCCATTAAATTGGAATAATCTGACCCACATCACAGTACTGTCTCAAGAGTTAAAGGATATAGTGTATGTGAAGCCTGCATAGTGTGTGTGTATGTGTGTGAGTGTGTGTGTGTAGTAAGTGCTCAAAAGCAGAAAACTATGATCAAGAACTTTCAAAAATACTTTGACAATATTCAGGACAGAAAGGGAAAATATTCTTTGAAGACACTGTGCTTAAAAGAGAATGGATTGTCTATTTTTTAGGAGCCAACAATGCTCATAGATCAATGTCCCACCGAAAGGTATGAAAGATAGTGATGGCATTTCAAAAATAGCTGTGGCTCTTACAGGTCCTAGGATGGATGGACAGACAGTGACAAGGCCAGGGACACCCAAGCCTTTCTCTGAAAGCTGATCCAAGAGGATTAATCCTGAAGAGCTCACCTCATTCTCCTCTGCTGGACCCATAACCCAGAGGAGCAAAGGTCAAGGGGCCAAGGGTAAGATGCCAGTTCCAGGCTATGAGCCAGGGTTTCTAGGTTTGAGGGAAAGTCAGGGGACCCCTAATGCTGGACCAGAGGCAAACCAGACAAGCAGTGTTGCTCAAGTGTCAGGAATGCTGGAAAGGCGTCACATATCCACACTGTCCTGATCCTCCTTGTACAACCCAAAGCTAACAGAAGATCAAAATTTCCCCAAATTTCAGCCCTGAGCATGAGACGAGTTTTTTTCTAAGCTAAATTTGGTCTTAGTTTTCAAGCGCCTGAGATGCACAATTCAAATGTGATAAGTCCCTGGCTTCTTATATTGATCAAACCATCCCCTGTTTTGTGGTTGACCTGGCTGCCCTCATGCCTGCCCACTCTTACAACTGTTCCGGCCATCATTCCAGAGGTTCCATGAAGAAAGCTCAGGGTTAGTGGTTGGGGAAGCACAAGCTAAGCCATCAGCCCTTGGGAACAGGGATTAACTTCTGGAGGAGGGGGCAGGTCCATTTGTCTGGGTACTGTGAGCAGCAGGGCCATTACCCTACAGGAAAGAGAAGAGAGATTTCTAAATATAGTGATAGCTCCATCAGCAAGAGACTGGGTTCCCACAAGAACAAGGACCTTGCTCTGGGAAGCCTCAGCCTGTCTGAATGGGGCCTGGTTGGTGAGAGCTGGCGGCCGGCTTTGGCCCCTTGCCCTGGGCTCAGATCAGGGGCAGCATCCTTGTGAGGGTGGCCCACAACTAGGCAGTGTTGTGTCTGGAAGGAGCACAGGACCGCGAGCCAGAAGACGTGAATTCTAGTGCGAGCTCTGCCTTGAACTAGCTGAGTGACCTTGGGAAAGTCACCTGATTTCTGTGGGGCAGAGGGACAATGTGGGGCAGGGGGGGACAATCTCTAAGTTTCCCATCGGAGTGTGATCCAGGGCCTATTCGATCCCTCCTCGGCCCCACGCCTCCAGGGTCAGAGATGGGAGAAGGCGGGGCAGGGGTAGGGGAGACACAAATGGGAGCCCCAGGGGACTGCGGATCAGGACTCCACTTTCTCCTTCTTTTTGCTCTTCTTCAGAAAGGATGGGGTGCGGAATTTCTTCTTCTTCTTTGAGGGAGACTTGGAAGGCGAGCCCTCTGGGGACATGGGGCCGCTGGTGACAGACTCGGTTTTGTCCTTGGAGGTATCGACATCCGTGTCAGCATTGGTGGTCATCTGGCTGAGGCCTTTGCTGAGGGAGTCCTCCACCGTCTGCTCGTCCTCTCTCCCGTTGACCACCACTCCTTCCGGCTGCGTCACTTCCGGCTCTGTGGGGGCTTTGCTTGTTTCCGTCAGCTTAGCCTCTTCTAGAAAAAGATCCAAACACATGACCCATTAGATTTCATTGAGACAAGAGCTTCTGTCTGGGGCTAACAGAACCATTTGCAGGCAATTCTATATGGGAAATCTAGAGCTATGGGAGTGGCAGGCTGATGTCGTCAGGGGAGGGAGTGGCAGGGCTCTCTCCGAGACAGTAGAGAACAGGCCCTTGGCAGGCTAGGGACTCTGGGCTCTTGTCTACAAATGTAAATGGGTCATGATGTCCAAACGTGGCAGCAACCCAGCAAGGGCCCAGGTGGGAGCTTTCCTTGGTATGGACAGAGTGAGGAAACAGACACGGGCAACAGAGAGGCTGGACAGCTCAGGGGAGGTGTCTAAGAACTGTAACTGGTTCAGTTTCACCAGTAAAAATATGAAAATGACGTTTTCATATCCATTTCATTTCCCACACCAGTGAGGAACTTTAAAAAATGGAGAGTATCTTCCCAGTAGGCAGAGCAGGGCAGGCAGAGAGGAATCCCTGAGTGGCCCAGACCCTACAGACTGTTCAAGGCCAGAAACAGAACCCTCCAACTGCCCCTTCTCCTCCTTCCCACTCTGACCCCACCCTGCTTCCCACTCAAGTTCTGAAATGCATAGACAGGGAGGGAGGAAGGAAAATTCTATAACTGTAGACTTGGAAAAGTAGAAAGGAATGTGAAGTTCATCTAGCTCCTCCCCATTTTACCAATGGGAAAATTGAGTAAAGTAGTAAAAGGGGACAGACTTCAGCCTTCTGCTGTCCCAGCTTAATGCTCTTTATACTGTGTGAAACTGAGAGGTGTGAGTGTATCTGTGTGTGAGAGTCATGTGTGTGAGTGCACACCTGTGTATGTGTGCATGAGTGTACATGTGTGACTGTGACTGGATGTTAATGTGCATGTGTGTGAGTGTACACTTCTGTAAGTGTGCGAGTGTGTGTGAGTGCATGTATGTGCGTGTGCGTTATGCATGTTTGCACGTGTGTCATGTGTCAGTATGTGAGTGCTTGTGTGTGCATGAGTGTACATGTGTGAAATGTGCACGTGTGCATGTGAGTATGCACGTTTGAGTGAATATGTGTATCTGTGTGAGTGTGCATGTGCATGTGTGTGAGTGCACACCTGTGTGTGTGAGTCTGTGCATGAGTGCACATTTGTGACTGTGACTGGGTGTTAGTATTCACATGTGTGAGTGTGCACTTCTGTGAGTGTGCAAGTGTTGTGAGAGTGCATGTGTGTGTGCATTATGCATGTGTCTGCACATGTGTCTGTGAGTGCACACGAGTGCTTGTGTGTGTGTGAGTGTGCATGTATATGTGTGAAAGTGAACATGTGTGCTTGTGAGTATGCACATATGAGTGAGCATGTGTATCTAAGTGTGTGAGTGTGCACATGTATGTGACTGTGCACATGGTATGCATGTGTTAGTGTGCATGTGTGAGTGTGCATGTGTGATTGCACACAAGTGTGAGTGTGCATGTTGAACACACACATGTGTACATGTTAATGTGTGTGACTGTTGTGTGAATGTGCATGTGAGTGTGCATGTGTATAAGTAGAAGGGATAGCTAGGGAAGGCGGGGCAGGTCATTTACAGAGTGGGACAAAACAGACATCTTGGGAAAGGGCTAGGGTTCTTGACAGGATAAAGACTGAAGAAATATCTGGTTACATGGAAGAGGCGGGTAAATTTGGGAACAGTTAGAAAGCAGCAGAATGGGCTAGTTTAACTCTCTGGGCAAACCAAAGTCTTCTCCAATGACTCCTGAGGACTGTCCTCTCTTAGTACTGAGGGTCTTGGCCCTGCTCCCATCTTCCTTCTGTCTGGCCCACATCCTGCCATCATCCACCTACCAAGTCCTCTAAATCCCTTGACTCCTATGGTCCTTACAGCCCGCTCTCCCACCATGCATTCCCATGGTCATCACTGGCCATGCTCTTGAACACAGGAAAGCAGTCCAGACACAACCTTCCCCCTGACCACTCTCCTCTCCTCTCCTCACCTGCTTTTGGCCTAATCAACCCTCTGTCCCTGGACCCCTCTCTGCTATCACAGCCTGTTTCCCTCTGCCTGGACCACCCTTCTCTATCTTCTCCATGTCCCCAACCTTCACCCACACAATGAATCAGCTTGAGTCTTACCCTCCCCTTAAACTCTTTCCTGATCCCATTCCTGCTTCCAGGTAGAATGTGTCACTCCTTTTGGCCCCTACTATACAAATTTCCATCACAGCAACTATAAAACAATCACTTCTTTTTAATGTCTATCCCCTCCCTCAAAACTGGAATAAATTAGACAAGACTGTGTTTAATTATCTATGTAACTAGCTCATAGGAGGTACTCAAAAAGTGATTGTGGAATCCATGAATGGTTGAATGCATCAGCAAACAAATGAACATGTGAATGGTTTTATTCCAACCAAGCCAGCACCACACATTGTCATCTTTCTTACTTGTCACAGCCTGAGCCAACCATGTAAACAAAGAGCAGCCTGTGTGCGGGCCTTTACCTCCTGAACCTACCTCTCTGTCCCCACTCTCAATCTCCTGGACTTTTGTTCCTTTCATGGCCCCTCACTTAGGCGACCCATGAGGTCGTGTTTCTCAAGTCTCACCCTCTCAGATGACTTTGTTACCTGCTTTCTAGCCCCATGAACACAACTGTGGATTAGAGGGCTCCCCATTTCTGTCCATGTGCCACTTCCTGCCCTGGTGGTAACAGGCATCCCCACTCCAACAGCACCGTTCACACATGCCCACCCCAGCAGCCTCATCCACAGCTGCAGCCTCTGCTGTGTCTTGCTTTAGGAGCACACACCCAGGTTCTTCTTCCCCATCCAGAAAATGAGACCATGCTGAGAGATGCTGAGACCAAAGCTGAGAGACGCTGGCAGTATACAGAGCTCTCTCATGATGCACTGCTCAGGGAGCAGCAGAAAACACAAAGTGGGGCTGGGAGGCGACAGGCCTCGGAGAAGTAAGGTTGCAAATTAAGGTCATCACTCCCTCACCTGGAGGAAACCAAAGATGCTGAAGGGTGTGTCTGACCAAGAAAAGAGGCAGCAGGACAGGGCTCTAGTAATACTTATTGGGCCCCAGTAAGAAAAGCATCAAGGACCAGCTCTGAGAGTCCAGATCCCTCCTCTGCTAAAAGCCCAAAACAGGTAAGATCAGAACTTGATGGGTCTTCAGCTATTTGAAGACCAGGTTGGGAAGAGCCCCAGCAGCTAGAAGCAAATGGAAACTCACCTTCTCACATCCCCTAAGGAGAATCACTGGCTTTCTCTCCTAGATGGGGCACTTGGAGCTCTGGGAGTAGGAGACAGATGTGGGAGTGGGTGGAATGAAGTAGAGGCTGAAAAATGGGGGTGTCTATCCAAGGATGGTGGTCAGAAAGCAGGAGGAAGAGGAAAGGGAGTAGGGAGAGTGTCCTTTCTCTTTCAGAGAAAGACTGGGCTTAGCAGTCAGGGACAATATCTACACCCTCATGGGTTGGAAAGAGCTGAAAGGCTTGCAGAGGCTGGAGGAGGAACAGAGGTGCTTTGGGAGGGAGATGGCAAGCTTATTTGGGTACTTACCTCTCAGAGTGGATTTCTCACTTTCCCTCAGCATCCAAACACTTGTCTCTCAGTCCTCCAGTGTCCCTTCCCAGAAAAGCTCACTCCCTGGAAAACTCACTATACTCTTGTCTGCCAATCCAAGCATATATCTCCCCATGGTCTGGTTCAAGCCTCCCTTGACATTTGACAACGGTCTTGCCCTTTTCTAAACCTACTACCAATATATTAATTTTACACTGGAGTGTGGCCCCCTCCCACACTGAGTATGGGATGGCCCTGTGACTTGGAAGAAGCAGAGGAAGTGCCACTAGAGGAAATGCCATTAAAGGAAGTGCCACTAACCAGCCTCAGGCTGAAGAATTAAGAAGGCCTAGCAGCTTCTGCTAGCTTCTGTTTGGGGAGCCCTGAGGCACCATGTATAAAGTCCAACAACCTTGATGGGAACATAGATGGAGAGGCCACATGAAGAGTACCTACAATCACATGGAGAGAGACAGAGACATACAGACAAAGAGGCCCAGCCATTCCACTGTCCCAGCTGAGCCCAGCCTTCCAGCTATTCCTGCCAAGGCACCTGACAGGTGAGTGCACTATCTTGGAAATTCTAGTTCAGTCAGGCACCCCGATGACTGCAGCTCCAACTGACATCAGTAGAGCAGAAGAACCAACCCACTGAGCCTAGTCAACCCACAGAAGAACTAATTTCCATAAAGCGGTTCTCATTAAGTGCTATGATTTAATAATTATCTACTGCTACATAACAAACCACCCCAAAACTTAGTGACTTAAAACAGCAAGCAGTATAGTATCTCTCACACCCCTGGGAACACAGAAAACAGTGAGAGCTCATTTATGAAAGCACAGTACAGGATCCTTTTATATTTAGAATCTCCTTTTATCCTGATAACAATGCTGTGAATTAAGAAAGGAAAGGATTCATGTTAGTTCCCCATTCTTTAGTGTTTTTAAGCAACTTATTTGAGATGGCTAAATTAGTCAGTGACAGAGCTGAACTTCTAATGTCAAATGCAGGGCTATTTCTTTGTGGGGATAGCCAGTGCTCCTGGGGGGATGGAGTTGGCAGGGGCAGGGACAGTCAGGAGCTGGTCAAAGAGAAGGTGATGACAGAGATGGCAGAAGTGAGGGAGGAGGACTTGAAAGCCTCTTTCAGAGAGACTGGGAGGTAGAAGTCAAGGAGACAGAGGAAGAGTGATGGTGAGGTGATTTAGCACAAGAGGATTTGAGAGTATGGTGACAGATGGAGAAAAAGCCATTCCTGACCCAACAGGTAAGCTACACGTGAAAGTGCAGATGCTGCTTGGAGGGTTAGCCCTGTCACCCTGAGGAGCTGGGCAAGCCATCAGGCAGCATGGCCAAGACACCCAGCCCCACCTCACAATAGTCACCCTAGACAGCTCCAACTGGGCCTCATCACATGAGGTCAGCTCCAAAGAGGCCCACATTCCCCAACTCTGTCTATTTCAGAAAGTCTCTTTTCTAATCACTCAACTGGGGTGTGCCTCTCCATGGAGCACAGATTTGGGTCAGATAAAAGCAGGAATTCAGGCAGTGGGAAAGCAGTGATCCCATCCCTTACATCCTCCTCTTCCTGCCCTCTGTCCCACTGGACAGTAGAGATTGCTCTAAGGGGCTCCCAAGAGCTGAAATGGAAGCCTTCTCTCAGTGGCATCGCCTTCCTGCAGTTGGCTGCAGGGATGCTGCAGACAGCAGTCAGACTGGGTGCTCTCTGCATCCGGATCAGGCAGTTGTGCCCCCAGGTCATTCAGGCTCTGGCCTCCAGCCCTAAAAGACATCATAGGCTCCTTAGATGGGCCCATGCATTAGGAATGGGCTCCAGACGTGCTCCTGAGGCCAGAGGGGAGCAGCCAGCAGCTGGTCTCACAGTTCATTCCCTGTGGGGGCTTATTGCATGTGGGTGGTGTGCCCCATGTGAATACCAGAGTGTGCATGAGTGTATCTATCTTAGAGAGAGCCTAGTCCATGCACAGCACATGTGGAATTGGTCATGGCATTTACAGTCAGGAAACCTCCCAAAGGCAAGGTTGTGAACTGCAAATTAAAAATTGAGGAGAAACCTATTTCCTTTGAAAAAGTCCTCCCTCCCCACATTGTGAGTGTTGGAGTAAGTTAGTAAACAGCATCTCTATACTTCTGACAGAGACAGGTATTCAGAATCAGAGGAAACTCCTTTGATGAAGGCACAAATGGGAAGAGAAAGGAAAACATTGTGCAGACAGGCTGACAACACTGGGATGAGACAGAGTGAACACAGTCATGGGACATCCACTCAGGCTCTGGCCTCAAGCAGATGGGTTTCCTCTGGTAGTGCTAGGCCTGTGGTCAAGGCAACAACTCATTTACAGAAGGAGCTCAGGATTGCGGTATGCAAGCAGCATCCACATGTCTGGCCATTCTACCCAGCAAGGGGAAGGTTCCATCAGGCCACCCAGCTGGTACCATCTGCATGGGGTCCACCCCTCCCTGGTAAGGGCCTCGGGGGACCCAGGGGAGGAGCATTCATTCTCCACAGTTATTCTAGAAGCTCATTAAAGACACTTTCATGATCTGGGAGTTGTGGACTATATTATTATTATCTGCCAAACCTATATAATTAATCATAACCACAATTGGATCTTATATTTAAATCATGCTTTTACTCTTTCCAAGTATGTTTTCATCTATACCTTCCATTATATATAAAAGAACCTTAAAAAGCAATATTAATAGCCCCCTTTGACAGACAAGGAAACTGAGGCATGGAGACTGATCTTCTAAAATCAGCAGTTGAGTTCTTATTAGTTAGCAGTTAAGTTGGACCTAGAGCTCTGTTTTAGTATCTAATATCTAGCTAGAATCTAATGATGTGGTTTTCAGCCTGGGCTATGTATTAGACTCACCTGGAGAGAGATTTTAACACTTCAGGCTGCACTCCTCCACCCCTACTCCTAGACCACTGAACTCAGAATCACTGGGGTAGGACCCTGGCAGGTATCAGGAACTGTGAAGCTCCCCAGGTGATTCCAACGCACAGTCAAAGGTTGACAGGTACATCATCAGCCTTACCTGGGAGCTTGCTAGACATGCAGGGCCTCAGGTCCCACCCCAGACTTACTGCATCTTAATTTTAACATTTTAATCTTCACTTAAACCAGATGCCTAGGTGAATCCTGTGCACAGTAGGGTCTAAGCACTGGGCTGCTGCATCTAGTCTGCATCAGCCAGTCTGGCCTGAGTTGGAGACGAGGAGGCTATGGGCCAGTCATTAACGTACTCAGCATTGCTTAGACCGGGCTATACCCGTAAGGTGTGTTGTCACAGCTTGTGAATGGAACAAGCTTAAAACTGGTAACCTCTATTTCAGGATCCCTAGGAACAGCAGAGGGGAAGGAGTTTCTGGTAGGAGGGCAGCGTGTGTGACAAGGCGGGAGCGCTGCAGTGCACAACCCCTTGCAGACCCCTTTCTCGGTCTGTGGAGGTGCCTCCTCCCTGCCAGCGGCTCAGCTCGACTCACCGTCCACAGATTTGGAGGGAGAGACCAGAGGGCTCTTCGGCTCGGACTTGGCTGGGCTCTGAGCTGGAGAAGCAGGTGCAGACTTCACAGGGGAGCCGGGCTCCTCTGGGGCAGGCTCCTTCTCTCCTGGAAACACAGACAAGCAACTCAGGACAGAGGTAAGGGAGATGAGAGATGCGCAGACAGAGTGCTCTAAGGCAATGCTTTCTTCTACGTGGTCCTCATTTCTCCTAACTGGAATTAGCTGCTTCCCCATCCCCTCCACCCCCACACCAACACACACACTTTTTAAAATGTCTGCTACACTCTGGACGAGGCAAATGGGAGGAGTCAGAGTCCAGTTCTGTTTCCTCCATCAAATCACATCCTCGGATGGATTATATTACCCCTGATGTGGATGCAAGACTGCAGGGTAATTCCCGCCCACCATTTGTATGCAGCTCATATACTATTTATGTAATCTACATGTTCAGCCCAAACAATCTCTAGAGACAAAAAGCACTGTATTTTTCTATCTACTTCTTCGACTGGCACGTGAAAAGTCCAAGCAAGCTGGCAAGAGTTCTTCTAGTGCCTTTGTGCGGAAGACGGCTGACTTTGGGTGGGGAGGGGATGTGGAAGAAGGTTCTTCCCGGAGGGAATAAAAGCCTTTGATACCATGCAGGGGCCTGTGGGACTCCTGGGCACAAGGCCTCTCTGTCCCCCATTTCTTTGATTATAGGAAGCTACCTTCGTTCAACCTCCATGACCTTCCCTGAGTTCCAATGGGGAGATTCAAGCTGTTGTTAATTATAAAGAGACAGGAGGTGAGACGAGGGAGAAACAAACAGCAAGAGCAGCCTTGGGGCAAGGCCCATCAGAGGAAACACACACCATATCTTTGAGCTATTTTGCAGATAATGAAACACCTTCCAAGTGGAAGAAGGTAATGATTAATAATGACATGCTGCCCACAAGCATGTAGACCCCAGATCAGTTGGAACTGAAGGCTGACAATGCTGACTCCTACTTACCTCACCACTAACCCATCCAAAGAACGTCCATGAGCTGATCACCCCTTCTTTGGACAATTAATACAGAATTTCTCACTATCTTCCCCAAGTTGGAACATACAGTTGTGACGGCATTAGCCCACCACTGCCCCCTTCGCCTGGCAAAGCAATAAAGCTATTCCTATCTACTTCACCCAAAACTCTGTCTCTGAGATTTGATTCTGTACCAGTGCAGAGAGAAGCTGAACTTTCAGCATCATCTTGTCTGGTGGACAAAATCAAGAGCTAAGTCCTGTGTCTTAGACCCCAAGTGCATCTAGAGCAAAGAGAAGGGACAGCTCATGAGGGGAACAGAGAGGTCTTCCTAGATGGAGAGAAGTTTGCCATGGAGCCTGAAGTGTAGACAATACTGAATAAGGTAGCCAAGAAGGGAAACTCTGCCAGGAAGGGACAAAAGCATGAACAAGCTCTCAAGAGTCAGTTGGGCTTGACTGAGATTCCGACATAAAGGCCTTGGCTGCTGACAGTTCTGATTGCCAGGTTTATACCAAACCAGATAGATCCGTCAACAACAGTGATCACTATAATAATGATCATATTATTACAACTAACATTTGTCTGGTGCTTACTGACCTAGGCCATATTTATAGGCCCTACTCTAAGCAAGCACCACATGGATTAACTCCTTCCCAGGTGAGAGCGTCAGTGGGGTCATGGCAGCACCGTGTAACCACTGCCAGGTATGAGGCGTGAGGGGCATTACTGGGGATAACAGTATTATGCTCATAAGAATATTGTTTGGTGATGAGGCAGGGAGGTCAAATTGAAGACATGAGAGAGAAGAGACACAGAGAAGCACATGAAGGTTGAAAACAAAGCAGAGAAGCCTGGACGGAGCCCTGGGGGCTCTGGTGGGCAGGAAGAAGTGGGGTCCGGCTGCTTGGACGGGGGCAAGGGGCAGTGACGACCTCAGTTTCTCTGCTGCCTCCCGGGTGCCCCAAGCTCTCCCCTCCCTCCAGCAGGTCCTGAAGCACTGGCCCCCCGGGGTTATTTACCCTCCAGTTCTAGCTTCTTCCTCTCCACCTCCTTCTTGTACTCCTCCAGCTCCTGGTCCGTGAGTTGGCTGAAGGGGTTGGGCGCCGTCTCCTCGGATTCGTCTTTGGCATCCGCCTGGCCCTGGGACATCAGCTGGCTGTCTGTGGACTGAAAGTTAACCACAGAGCGTGTTGCCCTCTGAACGCCGCGCTCGGGGCCCAGGCCCCAGCTTCCTTTCAGACTCATGTGGCTGCCCATGGTCTTGCTAGGGACAGCATGGCAAGCAGCTCCTTGGCANCGCCGTCTCCTCGGATTCGTCTTTGGCATCCGCCTGGCCCTGGGACATCAGCTGGCTGTCTGTGGACTGAAAGTTAACCACAGAGCGTGTTGCCCTCTGAACGCCGCGCTCGGGGCCCAGGCCCCAGCTTCCTTTCAGACTCATGTGGCTGCCCATGGTCTTGCTAGGGACAGCATGGCAAGCAGCTCCTTGGCAACAGCTCAGGGTCTTGGGGTGGGGTTGCTCACTCCTTCCCACGGCTATCTCACCCCAAGACCTGGATTCTCTGCAACTGCCTGGATGAGTGCAGGGGTATGCCCCTCTGCCCCAGAAATAAAATCAAAGGATGCTCCCAAAGAAAAGGAAGATGCACCTTTATTGCAGTCTCTCCTGTGGACACTTGCAAGCTGTCACTATGCAAATACAGTCAGCGGCCCACAGTCAGCCAGCCAAAACCCAGCAAGCAAAGCATTGGCTCAACCAGCTTCAAGCCAGCCACTCCCCACCCACCACCCCTCCTCCCCCAGCAGCAGGACAAGCCACACAGCACACAGCAGTAAGTCATATGCAAAACACACAGTGACTCCAGCATCCTCAGTCCAAACTGTTAGTTCTGTTGTGCACACAGTCATAAATTCAAGGAAGTCAAGGTCTTGAATCTTGGATCTTCAACCTGCCTGCTCTGCAGGTCCCTGCAGGGACACTGGCAAAATCACTGTGTTTCATCTCCTCTGGGGAGCCCCTGGCTCTGGAGAGCTCACCGCTGGGCCTTGTATAAGCTCAGAGAATCCTTTGACCCCTCTAGCCCAGGAGAGGGACTAATATTCAGACCCCACAGCCATTTATCCCTTTATCCTAACTCAGCATCCTCCTCTTGGCCTTTGGGGATACAGTGCTCTGGAGCTGAGGAGCCAAAGAAAGTGAAGCCCAAGGGAGGTGAGCCAGAGTAGCTGACCCACACCATGCCCTCTGGGCCATCCGTTTCTGGCCCATCAGAGCCCTGGGCTCCTACCAAAAGAAGGGCAGCACTGGGCCTATCTTAGGGAATTATGGGGTTCACAAGAGAGTCCAACACCAAGATCCCAAGAAGAGGGACTCCAAGGAGAGCACTTAGTATAAACAGCAGAGTTTTTAATAATTTTGCTCATTGTATCGAACTCTCACCTCCCCCCAATATCATGGGGTGGGTATGTCTATCCTTGACCCTGTAGCACATTTGATGTCCCTCCTCTTGGCTGAGCTGGGGTGGGGCAGAAGGGATGGCCTGACCTTCACACTTCCCTTGCCAACGGGCACCCATCTTGTGAGTTGCAGCCCCATCTGCAATCATGACATCAGTTTGCTCTGCAGAGAGGAATGGTCCCTGAATCCTCCACACACCCGGCCCCGGCTCTTACTGCTAAGGAAGATGCCACTGTGACTTTGCAATGAGCAGCAATGATTTCCAACACAAGCCAGAACTCTGACCTTTACCCCTTTCGCTAAGCACTACACAAACACTGTTCTATCTCAAGCATGGAAACAACTTTGTATTTTCTAACGCCATGTGGGTTTTGTAGGCAACTCACTGGCACTCCCCCTCCTGTAGAGCACCCGTCCTTATATACACATCTGCGCTCTGAGAGCACATGGGCATCCTCTCAGAGCTGTGGCGTGACGATGCCATATTCAAGCACAGAGGACAGAACCATTTGGAGCAGGCAGCTATAGAGCCACTGGGAGTGGCCAGCCACGCTCCTGCGAGCCCGCCCTGCGGAGCACTGGCAGAGGGCAGAGAGGAGTTCCACAGGAGAACCAGGCAAGCCTATCACTCCGGCGGGTGGGCGGATTGGGCTGCTCCCTGACCCCTCTCCCGCCCTCCCGGCGCCCACAGGGGGCGATAAGACACTGTCCTCAGTCCTCACAGCATCCGTTTTGCAGCAAAAGCACCAGCGCCCAAGATCACAGGGAAAGCTGAGCATATATGGGCTCACGGGTCCTGCCGCCCAGCCCCGGGCACTGCAGACCCAGAAGGCAAACTCGTTTCCCCTGCAGGCGGGGGCAGCGTCTGCTGTACCGGGCTTCGGCTCTTCTCCGCGATGACGCTGGCCAGCAGCTGGGACTGGGGCCCTGCCGACTTCACATCCTGTCGGTTTTGTTCTCGAATCTGTGTGGAAAGGGAGAGGAGAGTGAGCTAGCAGTCCAGAAGCAGGGCGTACTTAATAGGCCGCCCAGTGTAGTGTGAACATACACAGTAACACATCACGTCCACTCTGAGACAGTCTCCATGGCTGTTCCAGGGAATGAGTAGTTGATGTCAAACAGCAGATTCTCATGAACTCTAAGAAGATCATTGTAAGAGATGAAGAGTGAAACGAGGCATGGTAGATCCTTGTGGGGATTCTCAATTTTCAATATTCCTCTAAAGCCCCTGAGGAATTGGTTTAAACTACAGATTTCTGGGGGAGAGGGACACCTCATACATGTTAAATCTCAAACCTGTGGGAGGAGGGTTGGGGGTAGCCCAGGAATCTGCATTCCAGAGGTGCACACATTGAAACACTGCTCTGAGAACATGCCTGGCCTATTGGAGGTGGTTCTGTTACAACTTAGGTATTTAAAGTAACATGAAGAAAATAAGTGAGTGAACTGTAACGCCAAGGTAGAGAAATAAATATAAAGGGGTTTGCAATTCGGACATCCCCTCCTTACACCCCCGTGGGAGAAGAGATGGGAGGCAGTTAACTACACCTTACCTTGTTGCGCATGTCCAGCACTTCTTGGGGGTCAGTATAGAGAGGCACAAATTGGTTTGGGTTTTCGATCCGTATGGGCATGCCACTGCTGGATTTCTCCACCTCGTCAGCCTTCATCCACTGAACACACACAAGGCCCGGTGGGTAAGACAAAGACACACAGCTCACCATCCACCCCAGTGGTCCACCCCAGGAGAGCTGGGCTGACCAGCCTGCATGGAAGGTCAGCAAGTCCAGACAAACACATTCCCTCCTCTTGGGGCACTTGGATGTCTATCTCCCAGAGCAGAGATGGGCAGCAGATGACCCAGCAACCAAACTAAGGCCCCTGGTCAATGGCCCTAAAGAACACTTCGGAGGAACAGAGCCTCGGTGACCAGTTTCAACGGACAGGCAACCACTCGTGTTTTAAGAGGACTTGTGGATAGTTTCATTTTTTAAATGCAGAGCTATTCTATTTGGCTGCCAGCTACTTACAAAGTAAGTAGTAAAAATCAAATTAAGGGTCAGAGGTGTTTGTGTGAGGGAAAGAGAGGGAAAGAGCATAAAATTTGTAAAAATTCAACCTCTGGGCAGGTCTCTTCCACACATCTAATGCCTAAAGTAAGTCCACAGAAGAGGGTATAATGGGAGAGGACAATGTCATAGAAGCAAGTATCCACCTCCCTCCTGGTTTTGCATCAGACGGTCAGTTCAGATGTTGGATACCCATCCCCTGAACTTCCTGGAAGCCCTTCCGGATGTGGGAGCAAAGTTTTCATGTGGCTGAGAGTGACCTGGTTCAGCCACCCTCTGGACCAGAGGTACAAGAAGCAGGTGATCTGCTCTGTAGGCATGAGCGGCTGCTCCCAGACACCCAGTAGGAAGCCCTAAGGGGAGAGAGGACTAGCCCAGGCCTGGGGGAGGTTTGCTCTGTCCCCCATTTAAAGTGGTTTAGCCCGCACAGGTGGCCAGGCACTCTCCTCTGACCCCGATCTCCCCAGCGGAGCCCCCTCTGCCCTCCTTACTGTGGTCTTGGGCCGAGGGCTGCCCATGCTCCTCTGGACCTCATCGGCCACGTTGACCCGCAGGTAGGTGTTGGGCGTGTTGAGCCAGCGGGTCTTCTCCTTCTGCTGCTTCTGGGCATGCTGCCGCAGAGCAGGCACTGGGGCGCCGTCCTCCTCAAACACGAAGGCAGTGACGGTGGCTGGAATCTCCACCTCACTTTTGTGTTTGGTTTTCTCTTGAACAAAGGGATAGCGGTAGGTGTAGCCTGTTCTGTAACCCTAAAAAGAACAAAAATAGAACCACTTAAGGTAGGGAAAATGGTCAATAACATGCCAGCTGGCCAGGCCACACACTTCACCCCCTTCCATCTAAAGGACTCAGTTTAACCCAAAGTCTGCATAATAAAATACAACCCAGGCCTTGCCATACCTCTGGAAGAAAGTGAAATTGTTAGTTGCTCAGTCGTGTCTGACTCTTTGTGACCCCCATGGACTGCAGCCCGCCAGGTTCCTCAGTCCATGGGATTCTCTAGGCAAGAATACTGGAGTGGGTTGCTATTTCTTTCTCCAGGGGATCTTCCCCACCCAGGGACTGAACCCAGGTCTCCCGCATTTCAGGCAGATTCTCTACTTGTTCCCTGTCTTGGTCCCCCAGTCTCTCCTTTCCTCCACTCCAACAAGCCCTTTGATCAGGGGTGAAAAAGTCACCAAAATTTTGTGGACCAGACAGAGCTCCAGCTCTGGGTCTGGTCCAGTAATTGTCAACACACTGAAATCACAAAGGAGCTTTGAAAATATGGATACCTGGACTCACCTCAGAGTTGCCCATTTCATTGGACATTGGTGCAATCTGGGCTACAGGACTTTAAAAAGCTTCCCAGCTGCTTTGAACAGTAGCCCTCCCTTCCTCAACTCTAAAGTTTCTCGACTATTTCTCTCTCGGGACCCCTGAATTTGACTCGAGAACATCCCTATCTCCTAAGAAGGGCCATATCCCTCAAAGGTGGGCTGTTACTTAGAATGAATATTCAGGAATCTTAGCAGCTGCTGGAATAATTCTCAGCTCTGCCAGTCTTCTTTTTTTAAGTTAAAGTGGCATTAAAAATTATGTGGATTATAAAAAAATACATAGCCATGTAGAAAAATTAAGCAATATGAAAAAAACATGAGGAAAATATGGGTTTTATTCAAAATCTCATCCTGAAAGACAACCACTAAAAATCCTTTCAGTCATCTCTCTAAGCATACATATACATATGCACATATGTAAATATACAGACTATATAATTAATGTATAATATACATAAAATATATAAAACACTATATAAATGGGACTATACCACATAAGCAGCCTTTTAAAAAACTGAGATATAACTGACATGTAACATTATATTATTTTCAGGTGTACAACACAGTGATTCAATATTTGTATGTATTCTATGCATAACTGAATCACACCTGAAACTAACACAGCATTGTAAATCAACTATGTCATTGTTTAGTCGCTAAATTGTGTCCAGGTCTTTTGTGACCCCATGGACTATAGCCTACCAGGCTCCTCTGTCCATGGGGTTTCCTAGGCAAGAATACTGGAGTGGCTACTATACCTCAATTAAAAAGAAATTGTATGTATTGTGAAATGATCACCATGAACCTAGTTAACATCTGGCACCTTACATACTTAACAATTTTTTTTCTTGTGATGAGAACTTTTAAGATCTACTTACTCTTTTAGCAACTTTCAAATATACAACACAGTATTAATAACTACAGTCACCATGCTGTACATTACACCCCCAGGATCACTTATTTTATATATGGAAGCTTTTACCTTTGATCCTTTACCCATTTCTCTCTGCCCCATACCTGGTAGCTACCAATCTGTTCTCTGTATCTCTGAGTTTGAACTTTTTGGTTTTGGGGTTTGTTTTTTTTTCAATTCCACATATAAATGAGATCATACAGTATTTGTCTTTGTATGACTTATTTCACTTAGCATAGTCCCCTCAAGTTCCATCCACATTGTTTCAAATGGTTAGACTTCTTTCTTTTCATGGCTGAATAATATTCTATCATATATATGTATACATATAAACACCACTTTTTCTTTATCCATTCTTCCATCAGTGAATACTTAGTTGCTTCCATATCTTGGCTATTTTAAGTATTACTACATAATCAGCTTTATAAGTTGCTTCTCTAGTTCATCAATGTGTCTTGGAGATTTCTTCATGTTACTGAACATAGATACACAGCAACGTTTAAACAACTGCATAATATGCCAGTGAATGCACATATCACAATTTATCTAACCAACACTGGAAGACACTTTTGTTAATTTCAAAATATTATAAACAACCCTGAAATGAGTAATTTTACACATTTTTCTTTCAGCAGTTAACATAAATGCCTAGTAATGAAAATGACTGAGTCAAAGGGTGCACAGTTTTTACATATTTATTTTAAAAGTTTTTATATATTTATCATGTCCATCTTCCCAAGACACTGAGCCAGTTTGTACTTCTGCCAATTGTGCTGGAGCTCCCAGTTCTCATCTCCTTTCCCCACACTGAATGTTGTTGGGGTTTAAAAAAATCATTGGCAGTTAGATGGGTTAAAAGTAAAACCTTCTACTTTTGTTTTGTTCTTTTTTAGATTACTAGTAAGACTGGATATTTAATTACATTCAATGGCCTCAAATATCTTCCCTTGTAAACTGTGTCTTCAGTTCATTTTCCTATTGTGATGTTTATCTTTTTCATATTATTTCTTTTACAGTAAAGATATGGATCTTTTGACTGTCAGAGATGTTGCAAATATTTTCCCCATACTTTAGTTTTGTTCATGGCGGGTGAGGTGGTTTTTAAAAATATAAAATTTGAATTTTAGTGTAATCTTAACTGTCAATATTTGTCATTATGATTTCAGACTTTCCTGCCATGCTTGACAAAGTCTTTCCCAACACAAGAGCATCAAAAATATTAATCTATGTTTTTAAATACCTATATGAATTTCCTTTTCATGTTTAAATTTTTGGTGAATGAGGGATCTATCTTGAAAGGATAAAGCAGCAAGCCACCCTAGGTTCATTTCCCACAGGGCTAGGAGTCTATCTTTCCCCACAGATTTATAAGATGGCTGTTTCTCCTGTTAAATTTTCATGTATTTGGGATCTATTTCTGGACTCTCTAAGCTGATTCTGGACTCTCTAGCTCTTATTGGCCCGTCCCTTCTGGACTAATGCCCCTTCCTTCAATGACTAAAGCCTTATCGCACTTTACCATGTGGTGGTAATCACTATAGAATTTTCCAAGCCATTCTGAATTTCACCTGAAAGAACATGTTGCTAAGTCCTTATATCTTGCTCCACTTTTGAGGAAATTACATTGAGTTTATTGATTAACTTGGAAACCTCTTTACCCTATTGAAGCTTTTAACCAAGAATAAATTATAGCTCTTCACTGATTTAAGGTTTTCTCTGATGTCTATTGGTTAAATTTTGCAACTGTCTTTAAAGGGCTTCTGCTTAAAACTTTATGATGTTGCTGCATTTACAAATAGGATTTTCTCTCATATTTTCACATTCATTATTATATGTTAAAATACAAAAAAGCCACTAATTTTTACGCGTATTTTCATAATTGGCCACTTTAAGTGCACTCATTATTTTTTCTCAATTGGAGGATGATTGCTTTACAATGCTATGTTGGTTTTTACCATACAGCACCATGAATCTATAAGTATATGTATATGTCCCCTGCCTCTTGGACCTCACTCCTAGCCCCCACCCCATCCCACCCCACTAGGCTGCCCCAGAGCATGGGGTTGGGCTCCCTGTGCTACACAGCAACTTCCCATTAGCTATCTATTTTACATATGGTAAAGTATATGCTTCAGTTCCAGTCTCTCAATTCGTCCCACTCTCCTTCCCCTACTGTGTCCATAAGTCTATTCTCTGTGTCTCTATTTCTGTCCTGCAAATAGGTACATCAGTGCCATTTTTCTAGATTCCATATATATGCATTAATATATGATATTTGTTTTTCTCTTTCTTACTTACTTTCCTTTATATAACAGGCTCTAGGTTCGTTCACCTCACTAGAACTGACTCAGATTTGTTCCTTTTTATAGCTGAATAATATTCCCTTGTATGTATGTACAGGGCTTCCCAGGTGGAGATAGTGGTAAAGAAGCCTCTTGCCAATACAGGAGACACAGAGATGCGGGTTGGATCCCCAGGTTAGAAAGATCCCCTGGACAAGGACACGGCAACCCACTCCAGTATTCCTGCTTATATCTTACTTATATTCTTGTTTATATCTGTTGATGGACATATAGGCTGCTTTCANATGGATTGGTGTACACTGAAGAATCCTTGGATCCCTGGGATAAAGTTGATTTGATCATGGTATAGGATCCTTTTAATGTGTTGTTGGATTCTGTCTGCTAGAATTTTGTTGAGGATTTTTGCATCTATATAATTTTCTTTTTTAGTAATTTTCTTCTTGTGTGTGTGTTTTGGTATCAGGGTGATGGTGGTTTCACAGAATGAGTTTGGAAGTGTTCCTTCCTCTGCAATTTCTTGGAAAAGTTTGAGAAGGCTAGACATTAACTCTTCTCTAAATATTTGATAGAATTAGCCTGTGAAGACATCTGGCCCTGGGCTTTTGTTTTGGGGGAGATATTTGAACACAGTTTCTACTACAGTGCTTGTAATTGATCTGTTCATAATTTCTATTTCTTACTGTTCAGTCTTGGAAGGCTGAACTTTTCTAAGAATTTGTCCATTTCTTCCAGGTTGTCCATTTTATTGGCATATATTGCTCATAGTAGGTCTCTTATGATCCTTTGTATTTCTGCATTGTCTGTTGTGACCTCTCCTTTTTCATTTCTAATTTTTTTTATTTGAGTCTTCTCCTTTTTTTTTCTTGATATGCACTCATTATTTCTAATTTTTCTCGGTTGATTCTTTTGAACCTTAGAGACAGGTAGATGTACTAACTATATAGAAGAGTAATTTTGTTTTCTTTACAACATGTACACCTCTTATTTTTAGATCTCACTGCCTTGAATTGATTTCCAATATTATTCTTGAACAACATTAAATAATAGTGCTGAGAACAGAATCACTGTTTAGTTTCAAAATTTAATGGAAATTCTTCTAGTGTTTCACCATGATACTGGTGTTTGTTTTGACAAAAAAAAAAGCAATTTTAATCGTATTAAATAAATGACTTCCTATACTACTTAACAGCTATTATTTTTATAAATAGAGATTACATTTTTATCAAATACCTTTTGATCTCAAAGTGATCCATAGGTTTTTATCCTTTGACTCATTGATATCATGAAATATATTTAGATTTATAATATTAAACCATCCTTCAATACAAGGAATGAGCCCTCACTTGTTTATCATGTATTATTATTCTAATATTATGCCAGATACTATTTGCTAGTTTTCATGCAGCATTTTTCATCAACTCAGAGTGAGATATGTCTGAATGTGTTATAATTGTTAGGACCTGGTTTCCTTCTTTCACTCTTCTCTGCCACAGTTTAAACAGCATAAGAATAGTCTATTTCTTAAAGGTTTGAGGGAATTTCTGCATGAAACCATTTGGTCCTGGTGCTTTATTCAGCCACAGATTACTCAACACACAAATGTTATTAAGAGTTGTATTTTCATTGTGAATTATACCTTTAGTACTATAAAGTTACCCTCGTGGTCAGGCCTGTAATAAACTGGTGATAATTTGGAGGAACTGGAAGCAAAAAGGAAAGGATTAATTATTGCAATGACCCAGACATAATAATGAAAGGGTCCAAATTAGTAGCAGTGAGGAGGGGGAAAAATACAGAAATGTTGCAAAAATAGGGCACATCTTCACTCTTCTGAGCAATCTGGGAAGCCAATAGCCTCTTCTTGCACTTAGATCCTCACTGTATATGCTTTCCTCTTATTCTTGAATTGTTTCCTGTTTATGTCACATATCATCAATTAAACGGTTAGTTCCAGAAGGAAGGATGTCTTATAATGCTTTTGGATCCTTTAAAGCCCACTCTAGTCACATATCAGTTAATTTTTCACCTGATTGTTTGGTTGATTCATCACAATAGGAATAGGGTTGTAATGCTGTTTATCAGAAATAGGGAAATCAAAGCTATTATGTTTTCTGCATTAAAATCATGAGATTAGAAGGAAACACAGAGCTAACTGCAAAAGAGGAGTAAGCCAAGTCACAATATGAGAGAGGCTCTGTGGTCCTGATTTTTGCTGGATTACCACCTCACATGCCAACCAGTAGCTTCCTACCCCTTCTCCAAAGGGCACCCAGCAGGTATGACATCCACAGCCCTTGGAAAGGGAGTGGCAAAGGCCATTGTTTGAGAAGACTCAAGTACTTTAGAATGACCACAAATTCTTAGTCAAGTTGCCACTCAAGAGGCTTTAACAGCTGAATTGTGATGCTGGCAGTTCTGACATCTACCGAGTGCTTCATACTGACTGGTTTTGGGGGGCTAAGCCGCAAGGACTGGCCTGGAAGGACAATGGCAGGAGACTCACCAGATTGTCCAGCATCCTCATGAGGGCCTCGAACTCGTGCTCCCCCAGCCGACTCTTCTGCATGGGCCCGAAGGTGCTTCCTGCCCACTGCACAGATCCCACCTCGTGAGGCCGGTGCTTCTCCTGCTCCAGCAGGATGAGGTTCTCCACACCCCCCGCACTGGACAGAGCGGACACCTGTGGCAAAGAGCAGAAAGCCGTCAGCTCACACACACACACGTGTGTGTGTGTGTGTGTACACCCACAACCCTGTACACATCTCTGCTCCTAGGCGTAACAGAGAATGGGGATCAGGGAAGGTTAGAAACAGAAATTTCTGGAAAACTGAGTTGTATCTAGTTTTTTCCTCCCAGAGGAAAGCTGCTCCAAACTTGTAGGGCATGTGCCCATTTCCAAGGAAGAGGTATTAGTATTTCTTTCCTAATGTCAGTTTTTAGGGAGACATAGCAAGGGTTAAATCTTGAGAATAAAAGAGCGCAAAAGACTGAAAAGTTACTTGGCACAGAGGCCAACTTCAAGCTGTGATTATTTCCAGGGAACAAGGGAATTTGAAAAAAAGAGCCTTCAATTCTCGTCTATAATATTTTACTTCTCCAAGAAGAAAAGGCTGTTGATATTTGTTAAATCTGGTGGATGGAGAGTGGGTATTGTATTATTCTCTGTATTTTTCTGTGTCTGAAATATCTCCCCTTAAAAAACAAGTCACTTGAAAGAAATAAGCTGGCTTCTAGGCCAACAAAATATGAGTGTGCCCTGTTGGGATGAATTAACAGGTCTAAAGGAAGAATATCCTCCATAATGGGTTTAGTCAGTCAAGGAAGCCCAGAAAAAGGAGACAGATGAACAGCTGACAGGCACAGCCAGGCCCTGTATTGGGCTTGGAGAACTTTCACCAACAGACTTAGAGTGTTTGCTCCACTATCAAGGCTCCATGGGGAGGCAACCATACAGATAACCAGAAGCAATGGACTTTGGGTTTTAGTGCAAGAGGCATGTGTATAAAACAGGCAGTTTTAGAATGATCCTAAAAACATTCATGAATCCAACTAATCTTATTTTCTAATTCCATGCTCATCTGAAAGTACATTCTATTTATTCCCCATATCTGCCACCCAGATACAACTGGCTATGATTTGGCTTCTTGGGTAAGTCCAGACACAGAGAGAGAAATGGTGGATTCCAAGTATTGTAAGTACTGAAGCTGAAGTTTGGTACTGCATATCAAGACCCTTCCCCAGCAGCTCAGCTGGTAAAGACTCCGCCTGCAATGCAGGAGACTCCAGTTCGATTCCTGGGTCAGGAAGATCCCCTGGAGAAGGGACAGGACACCCACGCCAGCATTCTTGGGCTTTCCTGGTGGCTCAGATGGTAAAGAATCCGCCTGTAATGCGGGAGACCTGGGTTTGAGTCCTGGGCTGGGAAGATCCCCTGGAGGAGGGCATGGAAACTCTCTCCAGTGTTCTTGTCTGGAGAATCCCCATGGATAGAGGAGCCTGGGAGGCTACAGTCCGTAGCATCACAAAGAGTCAGACACGACTCAGCACGGCATCAAGACCCTGGTGTTCTGATTAATATCTGTTATCTCCTGTAAACCTGTGCTATGGGGGAACAGCTCTGATTATTTAAACTTTCAGTGTTCCAGTTTTTATGTCAGTTATTGTTTTATTGAAGATGGAAGAAATCGATGTAGCCTGATAAGAAACCCAGGCTGATGAAGCCCTGAGGATCCTGGACATACTCCAGAGAGTATTAGAGTCACTAGTGTAACATACAGCCCCATGAGACTTACTGGAGGTCAGCCAGGCTTCAGTGACCCCCAACACTCTGTGAAGAGGAAGAAGTAAGAACAAGAATTTTCCACACCCTCTTCATCCAAGGCATGTGTCCCATAGAAGCCTCCAGTTTTAGCTTAAAAAGATAACTCCACACTCTGCAAGTATAGACACCTAGAGGCCATTTATTCCATACTCTCACAAAAAATAAGAGTCCTTATGTAATATTCCTAGAAGTTGTCAGCTCCATGCTTGAAGAGGCAGCCTAAAGTAGTATTGTCCAAAGGTTAGAAGGGTTACAATGAGATGATAGAGATTACATTGAGTTGAAATCTACCTTTTTATTATGTTCATTCACTGGTCCCTCTGCTGCCCTGTTTTCTAATTCTGAAGTCCCTGAGGCTTCTGAGGCTGAGCATATGGGAATACACTCTCAAAGATAGCGAATCCTAGCTGGTTGATCAATTAACACATTCATCCTGGACTCCTACCTGGTCAAGGCAGGCTTTAGCCCTGGGACCCTGAAACCTTGACTTGAAGTGCCAGCTCCCTGGGGAGAGGCCCCAGCCTGTCAGCTGACCTTTCCCACCAGCTTTTACTGCCCTGAGAAGCAGTGCAATGTAGTGTTTAAGACACAGAACTTGAGTACCAGGCTGCCTGAGTCTGGATCCTGGCTCTGCCACCAGGATTACTGGCAAAGTTACTTGCCGTGTAACTTTGAGCAGCTATTTACCCTCCCTATAAAATGCAAATATTATATTTACCTTATGAGGTTTATTTAAGGTATTCCTAAAGCTCTTAGAACAGCACCTGGTGCATAAAGAGCGCCATAGAAACACTTATGATAAACAAATTCTGAGGCTTCACCACGGAACACTGAGAAGCAGTACCCTGGGGACGGGTCATTTGTGGAGGAGGAGAGAACTGCCCACTTCCTTGCAAGAGCTGCCTCCTCCCACCTCCCTCTTCCCCTATGTGTTTCCATGGCAATGGGTAGCAGATGGAGAGTTGCCTGAGCTTCTTCTCATCTGCCCGTAAGCAGAGCAGGTAGCTGCCTCTCTGAACAGAGGATGACCCAGTTTCCTGGAACCCCAAATGGATGGAAAGCAAAGAGAATGCTGTCCCCAGGAGAGGGGAACAGGCTCTTAGCCTTGAACTACTGAAATGACCACAGACACATTTGCTTCTTTGCCAAGGTCATTGAGGGAGAAAATTAGTCCCATGATGCAAGCAGAACCCCAGGGCAGCTCATCCATCTGGAAACGTCCCTTTCAGGGGCTGCAGTCCCAACAGCTCTGCAGGCTGCCGGGACCTGGTCTCTTCTGAGCCTTCATCCACCCACACCCTTCATCTATCTCTCCTGTTTTTCTTTTACTCCTTCCAGTTCATTTCTCCCTCTAGAAGCCTTCCTGTTCCACTCACTGAAAAAAGACACTGGAGCCTTTCTTGGGGTTATCTGCCCCATTGCCTGATGCACTTTATAAAAGTCACATCGAACCAGTCCCAACTGAAAAGAACGTGAGCAGGCAGTTTTTTCTTCTACTCCTTCCAGTTCATTTCTCCCTCTAGAAGCCTTCCTGTTCCACTCACTGAAAAAAGACACTGGAGCCTTTCTTGGGGTTATCTGCCCCATTGCCTGATGCACTTTATAAAAGTCACATCGAACCAGTCCCAACTGAAAAGAACGTGAGCAGGCAGCGCCAAGAGGAGCAGCAGGGGCTGTCCAGGAGAGTGGCGGGCAGCTGGCCCTTCATCTAGCCGAAGGTCCAGCTAGATGGCTTTCTTCCCTTTGGTTAAATAGCACAGGAGCCCTTTCTGAGGATCTAGAGCCTATGGAGGCGTACTCTATCCATTCATTTTTAGGGCTAGGCTATCTTTGCAAGGAGATAAGGCTTTATTGTGAGCTATTTTCTCATAGAAGCCTCCTTCTGCAGAAAAATGGGAAACTCTTCAGAGTTCAGATGTGGAGAAGAGAAAGTGGGCTTATCAGAAGCTCTGCCGGGTTCTAACATCATCCAGGGGTCAGAGTTCAGGGCCAGCATCATTGGATGGGGGGAGGGGTCATCTCTTCATCACTGTCCTCTCAACTTATCCTTTAAAAACCACTGAGAAAGGTCCCACTTGTACAGCCTCCACTAGTGATGCTTTGGGGATTACTTCCGTTCTTCCTGCATAGCAACTAACAGAAGGATGAGCGGTCTTCCTGGGACACTGCTCTGCCCAGACCTGCCAGGAGAGGGCAGACGGGCCACCACAAGGGCTGCAAAAGCACTGACTCACCCTGGAGCAGCTGGCCTGCCCTGTCAATTGAGTCCTGAAAATACCACCAGCAACACCTCTCCTTGTCTGAGAGGCCATCCTCACAAGGTCTCTATAGACCCAGTTCTACAGTTGAGGAAGCAGGAAATGGAGGCCTGCAGGGGGCAAGTCCCTGACCCAAGGGCACAGAACCCAGGGCTGGGAAGGATGGAGCCCAGTCAGTTGTGCAAGTACCCCCTACTCGCCTCTGATGGCTTGCTGCGCTGGAAGGAGCATATGCTTGGCTTATCCAACACCATCTTATTTAATAAAACTGCAGGATGAGTGTTTTCCTATTGCTTCTCCACCCACCCTCTATCTCATCCTTTACCAGTTAGGAGGACCACCAGAGGCTCCCTGGACTTCACCCTGGGGCTTCTCTGGTACCAGGCCTGCCATGCCAACACTCCACCTGGGCCTTCTCTCCATTTCTCTTTCTGGACTGGACCACATTCAGGGTGGTTGCAAACTACCCTCCTCCAAGCAAAGAAAAGCAGACCTACCTGGGTGGTGTTTGTGAGGGGACACCCCAGGTAACACAGGAGCATGGGACAGACCTCCCACTGTCCTACTGATGTGCCCAGGCATCTTCCTGCCCTCAACACTGACCCCCAAGAGTTGGGTGCTGGCTGTTGGACAAGGGTGATACAAAATTTTAAAGCTACAAAACTAAGTGTGAAACTTTAGAAGACTAAGGCAGAGAAACAGGGTGAGGCTCCACTTAAACGTCTCCTTAAGTCACAGCTCATGGGGCCACCACCATTACCCCTTGGCCCCTGTCGGAGCCCCTCCTGGGCCCACTGTCCAGAGGAACGTGCTTACCTGTATCTCACACGCAGCCTGTAGGTGGAAGATCTTATAAAATGCCTCCTCCACAGTATCACCCAGAGCAACCACTCCATGGTTTCTTAGCACCAGGATCTGTACAGGAGCAAACAGCCAATTGAAACTTTCAGCCTTCTAAACTTCAATTAAGAGGGAAAGATTTTTCATTTTATTCAGATCAGTTTCCATATCCCATCCTGAAACACCTGCCCCCTAGTTCCTCACTCACTCTCCCTATGCAAAAACCCAGTGCTACCCCCATGAGTTTTAATATCCACCCAAAAGAATGCTTAAGGTATATACCCGAAGAAACGGAAGATGCTTTTTAAAACTGAGACTGAATAACTTGGTGGATTTCTTTGGGCAAGGCTTGGGTTTTTAGGCCCTGAGAGCTTAGAAGTCTGAAAAATGAATGGTTATGTTAAAGTGAGTAAGTGTGTTTGCTGTTAAATACAAGGGTCCAACTTGTCCCCTGTGACTGGGTTGACTTGTGAGTCACATCCAAGGGAGTGATCCCCGAGAGGTGACCCTGCAGACAAAGGTGAGTTGGGTCACCTCTCCGGCCCCTAGGCTTCTTCCCCATGAACTCTGTGGGGCCTGGCAGCTCTAAGATCCTACAGTTCCATGAAAGAGGCCATAGCAACCTTCTACTCTATCTCATTAGAGGAAATAAAAGCTTAAAGAAATTGAAAGTCTCCCAGCTAATTAGGGGCAGAGTTGGAACCAGAACCCAGGTTGTCCCTGATGATGCAGTGTTTCTGACTCAGCCAGGGGCAGGCAGATCTAAAAGGGGGAAAACAGAAATCAATTCACACCAAAGTCCCGGTGCACCCTCCCTTCTTGGTTGGTTTAATCCTGAAGGATGCTGTGAGTAATACCCAGGTGACATCCACCTGGGGGCTGGGATGCAATCCAAGCATCAGATCCGTCCTTCCATTACCTGGGCTGAGGCCCAGTGGTCTAGTCCTCACACCTGTTCTTGCTGAAAACAGCTGGAGTTTTTTTTCCTCTTAAGAGCCACAGAGATGGGAAGAGACTATGACTCTCGCTCACAAAAGATTTTACAGATAGCGAACGCCCCTGGTCTTTTTGTAGCATTTCAGGGTTGTAAACATCACCCCTCTCCTGGCTCTGCTCATGAGGTCTCAGAGGATGTCAGGAGAGGGTAGCAGGGATTTCTGCTCCATGTTAGAGATGGGAAGACAGGGACTCCCAAATGGGAGATGACTCCAGCAGCAGCAAGGAAGGGGGCAAAGCACCTATCAAGCCAGGCTTGGCTCTGAAACTTCCCCTTCTAAGCTCACCAGCCCTGATTATGTGCTGTTATAAAATAGATCTTCAGACTTAAATCAAGCAATAATAATGAGATTCTGTTCTGTCAAGTTAGAAAAAAAAAGGGATAATACTCAAGTTTGAGGAAACTATAGAAAAACAGCATTCTCATACATGCTAGCCTTGTCTGGACAAGAGGGCAGTTTGTTACTATGTGGTAATAAGTTAAACTATGCATCCTTTAGAAATTTATCCTAAGGAAACCATCCCAGGCAAACACAAAGATGCAGCAGAAGGAATTTTCATCATAGAATTGTTTATATTAAAGGAAAATTTGGGGAGAAAAATCTTTTCTATGTCCAACCATAGAGGACTGTTCAGGTAAATGACGGCACAGCCATTCATTTGGTGACATGTAATTTAAAATAGTGATTAGAAAGTATTTTAATAACTTACAGAGGAGTTGACTGTATATTGCTAAGGGGAAAGAAGAGTTTTACAATCCAGTTTTGTAAATCTACGTGAATAGATATGGGAGTGTGCATCAAAATCGAAGGGTAGGGTGAAAGATTATTTCCTTTCTTTTGTTGCTCTTGTTTATCTGCAACTTTTTCCAAAGAATATTTATCCCTTTTGTGATGTGGGTTTTTGACAACCCCTCCCAGAGCATCTTCTTAGAACAGCTGAGCCGAACCTTGCAGGTGGGTCCAAGGCACTTCTGCAGGTTGATCCGATCAGCTTCCTGCTCCATCTCACCATTGAAGTCATAATATGCCATGTCCCCCACCAGCAGGGCGTCATGGGACACGGGCAGGAGGCCCCACTTCATGGCTGATACCTTCAGTGGGATAAGGAGTGGTTAGCGCAGCAACTTCACCCCCACCACCCCCAACCCCTGCCCCTCTGTCATAGTCCCCTCTCCTCAGATGGCCAGTCAAGCTCTACCTGGGGACAGGCAGCAGTGAAGCAGGGTCCAGGGGCCAGGGGGTGGCTTGGGAGGGACCTTCACCCTTGGCTGCAGTAACAGCCACGACTCTTCGCTAACAGGGAGGCCCATTGAATAGCTCCCATTTTTCTAGCAATGGGGCAATGCAAGTGCCAGGAAAGATGATTAAAATCCAGGCTGTAACCACTATGTGCCAACCCTTGGCCTTTATTAAAATCAAGGAACGTGGAGAGATTGGGAGAGCCTCTCACCTTCTTTCAGTCATCTTGCCCCTCATATCAGCCCCAGCTCTGCAGAGATGCATACTTGGAACAAATACATCACGTAGCCTCAGTCTAACTTTTGGAAGGTCTGAGCACTTGTAAACCAGTGTGATTTTGCAGAGAAAAATCACAAGTCAGTGGCAGGTCTGCTCTGCCCATGTAGGTGTGTGGCCAGGGGATTGGTAAGTTGGGGACTGGGTATCTGCTCGTTCCAGATGCACTGCAGCACCTCAGGTAGACACAGAGAAATGTCCAGAGACCCTCAAGGGACAGCCTGCTCCTTGACGGTCTTCCCTCTGTTCTCTCCCCATTCTCTTTGCTCCTGCCCCAGCTCTCAGCCCATCCCGTATTGTGAAAGTGGACACAGTACAGGTTCCCACCATCTGATCTCATAGCAAGATCTGTCCATGCCAGAGCCTGGACTAGGGGGCAGGTGCCAGCCTGACCTAAGCAGAGGCTCAGAAGGTGGCATCACCCGGGCGAGTGGGGCCAGTTTGCGTATGCAGCAGTTGGGGGACACAGGGGGGCCGAGAGTACACACCTTCACCTTATCTCCCCTCACCGATACTTCCACAGTCAGAAAAAATGGAGAGGAGGAGATTCCCATATCAGGTGTCCCTCCTCACCTTGGCCTGAGTTCGAGGGAATCTTTCCAGAACTGCGTTAAATGGTGAGTTTGCTCCTAGCTTGCGGGGGCTTACGTCTCCCCTTGGGAAGACTCTCAGAGAGACATGTGCCATGGGTCTGCTGCCACGGGGGCTGAAATGCTGGCTGAAGAGCTGACACTCACCGCTGCCGTGGCTGGAGTGTGCAGGTGGATGATGCAACGCACGTCGGGTCTGGCAGCGTAGATGGCCGAGTGCAGGCAGAAGCCCGTGGTATCCACAGGGAAGCAGCTACTGCCCTTCTCCACCACCTCTCCCAGGATGTTCACTTTGATCTGGGCCACGGTAGGGGTGAGGAGGAAGAGAGACTTCTGACCACTAGAAGGCAGAGACCTCTCACTCCCCTCCCTGCAGGTGGGCCAGGCATATGCCCACCCACCAGCGTCTACTCTCCACCACACCACGGGCAATGGATGTGCTTGGTGGTGGTGTCGGGGGAAGAGTTCCTGCCCACAGGGTGAGCACACAGGCTACTGGGAAACAATGGCGATTTTAATTCAACACAAAAACTGCAAGAGTTTCTCAAACTTCACTATGCGTAAGGATTACCTGGAGATCCTATCAAAATGCAGATTCGAATTTGATAGGCCAAGAACTCAGCCTGGGAGTCTGCATTTCCAAAAAGAGTCCAGTGATACCCCTGCTGTTGGTCCATGGACCACAGTTTGAGTATCAAGGTGCAAGGAGAGAGTCATTCACAGAATTCTCCAAACAGATAGGATGAGTCTTTAATCCCAGTGGAAATAGGAGAGCAGAGAAGCCTTCCCAGAGGAAGTAGCATCTAAACTGAGCCTTTTTCTTTTTTTCCAGCTTATTATTTTGAAAAAATTTAATCACACACAAAAGTAAAGAGGATAGTATGATGAACATCCATTTACCAGTCACCCAAAAGCTAGGTCTTAAAAGACAAATGAGAGAGCAGTCCCTGGTCTTATAATCTGCTTTTGACTCCAAGGGGTTGCGGGTGTTACAGTGAAAACACATGCATGCCTGTGCATGTATGCACGCATGCACGCGCACACACACAACTTCTGGCAGCCGTTGCTGGCCTGGCACACAGCTAAGCCATAGCACTTCCTGCTTAACATAAACAATCTCACAGAACATCATCATCAGAGAAGACCACTTTCGACTGTGACACAGAAGACAAAAGCTACTCCTTAATCATGTCTAAACAAAGGCAAAAATAAGTTTGCACAAATGCAAAAATGACCAACACAAAGGATCATAAGAGACTACTACAAGCAACTATTAATATATGCCAATAAAATGGACAACCTGGGAGAAATGGTCAAATTCGTAGAGCTGAACAACCTTCTAAGACTGAACCAGGAAGAAACAGAAAATATCAATCGATCAATCACAAGTACTGAAACTGAAACTATGATTAAAAACTTCCAACAAACAAAAGTCCAAGAACAGGTGGCTTCACATGTGAATTCTATCAAACATTTAGAGAAGAGTTAATACCTATCTTTCTGAAACTCTTCCAAAAAAACTGCAGAGGAACGAACACTCCCAAACTCATTCTATGAGGCCACCATCATCATGATAACAAAACCACAAAAATATATCACAAAAAAAGAAAATCACAGATCAATATCACTGATGAATATGAATACAGATGGAAGAATTCTCAACAAAATACTAGCAAACTGAATCCAACAACACATTAAAAGGACCATACAGACAGAGGATGAGATGGTCAGAGGCATCACCAATGAAATGGACATGAATTTGGGCAAACTCTGGGAGACAGTGAGGGACAGGCAAGTCTGGTGTGCTGCAGTCCTTAGCATTGCAAAGAGTTGGACATGACTTGGTGACTGAACAACACACCATGATCAAGTGGGATTTATCCCAGGAATACAAGGATGGTTCAATATATGAAAACTAATCAGTATGATAAAACACACTAACAAAGTGAAGAATAAAAACCATATGATCATCTCAGTAGATGACCAAGACTTCCTCCTTACTGCACCAATAGTAGCTCTGGCCTCATTCTGTGCCCCCCTCCCCCTACCTAGAACTGCCACCGGGCAGACAGTGCACCATACAACACCTCCTCGTGTGTGTTAGTCGCTCAGTCGTGTCCAGCTCTTTGCGATCCAACAAACTGTAGCCCACCAGGCTTCCCTGTCCATGGGGTTCTCCAGGCAAGAATACTGGAATGGATTGCCATTCCCTTCTCCAGAGGATTTTCCCAACCCAGGGATTGAACCCTGGGCTCCTGCATTGCAGGCAGATTCTTTACCGCTCGAGCTATAGGGAAGTCCCCAACACCTCCTTCTTAGGTTCCAAATCACTCAACACAACCCTAACCCTGAAACAGGCCCCTCCGGACACCCTTAGGCTAAAAACACCTCCTGCTCCATGAGCAGTCTCCCAGAAGCTGGTAGGTAGTTAATTTAGCCTAACTTACTGACTAGAGGTGTTTGCTGGACATTAGCAGGCTAGATTTTTCCTTTCTAAAAATCATGACAGCTTTGGCTCTTAAAACTGCAGCACAGGGAGAGGCCGAATGCAGCACACAGGGAAGTTCCACACACACCTACCACACCCAGCCCAGGGGCCCAGGCAGGCAAGTGGTACCAAAGCAAGGAACATGCTGACAGCTTTGGCTCTTAAAACTGGAGCACAGGGAGAGGCCGAATGCAGCACACAGGGAAGTTCCACACACACCTACCACACCCAGCCCAGGGGCCCAGGCAGGCAAGTGGTACCAAAGCAAGGAACATGCTACTGACAACACTAGTTCCAGCAGAAGCATAAGGTGGTCAACAAACCCTCTCTTACAAAATGCTATTTTAAGTGAATTTTACAGGATGAACATGACTTTCAAGTGGCCTGACCCATGAAAGTGGCAGCAACCCTGCCATCTCAGGAACTTAAACTTGCAAGGGTCTGATGCAGACACTGGTTTCCCTTCAGCCCAGCCTCCCAACCTCCTCGGCTGGGTGGCCCGCTCAGACTTCCCTCTCTGCGATGAGCTCTCTCTGCTCTCATGCGTTCCTTATCTCAGCCTTGGATATGTGACCTGTTGTCACGCAAGAATCTCTACAGTGTAACAGGACAGTTACTGTCCCATGCAGTGCCTTTGTCCAGTGAGAAAACAGTCCCCCACCTCTTGAGGACAGCTCCAGGGCCATAGGGTGTGTGGGTACAGCCATCTTGCAAATTTGAAAACTCAGCCCAGAAAGGGGACCCAGAAGCTCTCTCCCACAGCACTAGAAGAGCCTTGCATTGCTTTGGGACAAAGCACAGGCTATTGTTCTTTTGTATCCCTGAGCCAGGAAGGCTTCCTGACTCCCAGCCTTTGAAGTCCAGTCCTGGGCTCATCTTTCCTTCCCTCTCCCTCCTAGAGTGCTTTCTGCCTTCACCTCCCATTTGGTCTCATGGTCACATTATGCTCTGTGCACAGTTTGTTTTGGTGTCCACGTGACTTCTCTCTCCCACCAGCTTGCAAACTGCATGAAGGGTAAGATGGCAGTGGCTAGCGTGGAGCAAAGATGGTACTGTCATTTCAACAAGAAATTGGTAGTGAGATGTTACACTGTACTTACCAGGCTGGAGGCTGTGACTTCGCTGCAAGAGACTCCCTTAGGGCTGATCAGGAAGTGGTCCTGCTCCTTGCTGACTCTCAGCTGGAGGAAAGACATGTGTTCCCAGTGGTGAGGAGGGAGAGGAGCCATTTCCAATATACTGTGCTTGAATCACCTTTACCCCTGAATCCACTGCATACAAATCTCCCCCCACCCCAAGAACACTTACTTCCTCCTGACTCATGAGAGATGAAGAAGACTCAGCCTTTATTTGGAGTCAGGGAAATGGAGCTATAAGAGGAATCTCCCAGTGGTCAAGGGTGGCCCTAGAAATAGGATCCAGGAATTCCTGGCTCCACATCCAGAGAAGTGCCCACGGGGCTGGTTGTCTATTGCAGGGAGCCACAGTGGCCAGAAACCTTGGAAGAGCTCACGGCCAGCAGTGTCACAGCCACGCCAAGGGTCAGGAGGTCTCCCTCTGGATTTGGTGGGGGCCACAGGCGGAGCCCCACCCAAGCCCAGATGCTGTCCTTACCGTCACGTAGGTGTCGCTCAGCTGGGCCCAGCCATACAGGTCCAGGAGGCGGTAGACACTGCTGATCTTGCACCGCATGAGCCGCTCCCCCTTGGCCAGGTTCAAGGAGTCGGCTGTGTGGAGGTCATTGATGGGCGTCATCATGGAGAAGTCTGAAGGGGGACAGGGCGGCTTTCAGGTCAGGAGCTTACGTCTGCGCTCTCCTGCCTTGCCCCCACCCTCTCCAAATTCTCCAAGGTGCTACATCCATACACGAGACTCCCGTGGGCAGGAAATTCAACATACTTTGACCCTGACTCCAGAGGAGAAAACCATCCGCAGAATGGATAGTTGTGCCCAAGAAAGTCCTCTGCTCCCTTAGAGAAGAAAGGCATTGCTTTGGGTCAAAACCCATGGCCAGACTCAAGGCCACAAATGAAAGGTTCTCAGCTCAAGCTGACTATAAAAAAGAGATAGACATTGCATAAAAGCAAAAATAAATTTCTGAGTGGAAACATGGGTACATTTTAACAGTTATTTTTAATGAAGAAGTTACTAAGCATTATCCTATTGTTTTAACTAACTTTTTCTCTGATTTGGAAAAGGGCGAAGAGAAACCCAAGTCAACCAGGAGGTAAATGGAAATGAACCTAGAGAGTTTGATAGTCTAGTCTTCTACTAGAAGTAGAGTTTGATAGTCTTATACTTCTGCTAGATAGTCTCAGGGCACCCAAAAGGTCTAGTCTGTCCCGTGAACCATGCTGACCGCTGCCTGCATGCCTTGGGAAGCCAGAAGAGGGGATCTGAGCCCCAGCCCTCCAATTAATCAGTGTCTAGGAAACAATAAAAGAATCAATAGGAAAGGGTCCTGGCTTAAAATGATGTCTGGCTGGGAGCCTCCTGATGCTGCCTTCCCCAGCATCCCACTAAAACCTTTAATGGATGAAAATGCTCTTCGGAAGCTTCCACCATCACTGCAAACCTCACTGTCACACCACATGATGTATGTCCTGCATCAGGTTTGCCATTGGTTGAAATGATAAGGTCTGTGAATATGAAGGTGGACTGAGAGCATAAAGCAAGCAGAGCAAGCCTCAAACACGCCATGTCAGGAGGATGCCCCCAAAGGGCTTGGGCCCACCAGCGGTGGTAGGCCTCTAGGGCATGGGTCCAGTACAGGAAGGTGACAGGGATATAAGTGGTCCAAAGACCTGGCTGAACTGGCAAGAAAAACAGCAACAAAATCTCAAAATTAAGGATTTCTATTTCAAGCTGAGTAGTCAAGGATCCTTGCCTCCTTTCTAGTTCCCCAGACAAGTATTTGCCCCTGGCAGCAAGAAGGGAGGCACATCAAAAGCATACGGCCTCCAAGCAAAGCTGGAGATAGGGGGAGGCTGTTGTTGGGAGAGTTCTTTGAACCTTTCTTTCAGAAATAACTGTGGAGTCCCCAGAGATGATCAGGAAGCCAGAAGAAGTCTGAAAACACTTGCTATCACGTCTTCTGTGTCCTGTATCCCTTACAAGTCCCCCTCCCCAACCCTGTGGGGCTTCCCATGAGGACTACCCACCCACAGGCCCAGAAGAGACCAGAGGGCTCCACAGGAGTCCCCGGTCCTCTGTCCTCAGGGTCTTCTTGGAAAAGATGCTTATTCTGATCAGCCTCACCAAGTGAAGATCTAACTGGGCCATTATTTCAAAGTACCTAAGAAAACACCAAGATGAAAATCCACCAAACCCCCAGAAAGCTACCTACACAATCTACAGGAGAAAAAAAAGGAAACAAACAAAACCCTAAGGTGAATGGAGCTGAACAAAGAACAACCTCTCTGGGCTTGGACTCATGACACCTGGAATTTTCCTTCTCCACATTCCCTGACTCAATTACCGTGGCATGCACCAATCAGATTTTCAAGCATCCAATAGTTTTCCTGGCAGATGCCGATCAGTAAAGCAATGGAAATGCTGGTCAGCCCTATTTCTTTCCAGAGGAAGAGTGTAAGATCAGAGATATGAAAATGATGAGCAAGAATTTGATAGACATGGGACAAAGACCAGAAGCCCTGGCATCTAAGCATATAAGTAGTCAGTACTGATACAATAGAAGAAAGAATTTTGAGTTGAAAAAAAACACGTGTGTGTGTGTGTGTGTGTGTGTGTGTATGTAAACTATAAGGACTTACTACCTTCCATCAAAAGAAAAATAACCCACAATTAAATGCTTTCTGACAACATTTCTGAAATATGAGGGTAAGGGGGAAATTCCACGAGCATCTAGGAAAAAAAAGGTTACCAACAAAGGAACGAATAACAGATTGTTTTAGATTTCTCTGTTATAGCAACAGATGCCAAAAGACAATACTATAGGAGATTTGCAAAAACAAACACTAAAAGTGACACAAAGCAGGTAAAAATAAAGAGAGCATCAAAAGTAGCCCAGCCAACTATAAACAAAAAATAAACAGAGGTCATAATATGATCAAAGTAGAAGCCAAGGAAAATAATACTCTTTTGGACAAAAAGAGCCATTTTGTAGGTCATTTTATATGGAGTAAAAGCATAATCCATAATGGAGCTATAGCTATAAAAACATTTATGCTTTGAAAAACATTTTATCAAGATATACAAAGCAAAAGCGGTCATAAATACAGAGAAATGAACAGAAATCAAATATAGTGAGAGACAACACAACATTAATTTTTATAAAATCAAAAATGATAAATGAAGATATAAATTAAATACTATGCCCCAGGGAAAGAGTCTACATCCATGTATCATTTAAATATGATATTAAGCCACAAAAAAAATCTCATAAATCCCCAACACAGACAATAAGTAGGCTACATTTTCTAAACGTAATGCAATAAAACTAGACATTATCAATAAACCTTTAAAAGAATACAAATTCTACCACTAACAAATGAGAAAGCATACTCCCAGAGGGTGCTTATTTTATTTTAGAATAAAAATAAAGCCAAAACAGCAACTGCAAGCCACCTAGAAATTAACAATAAAGAAAATTCTACATGTCAAAATTTATGGGACAAGATCAAATTTATACTCAGGAAAAAAAGTCATAGCCTTAAATATCTTTATTATTGTATTAAATATGAAAATAAATCAAATCAATTTTATTCTATTGTAGAAAAATATAAAGACTAAAATAAACCAAAGATATGGAAAAGAATTGACGAGTATAAAAACAAAATCAATGAATCCGAATACAAGGAAATTAGAAGAACCAATATGTAAATCCAAGAACTGGCTTATGTGAGAAGATCTATGAATAAACCAGTCTCTGGATTTGCCAAAGGAGGAAGCAGAGATACATAGCACCAGGAATGAGAATGGGATGTCATATCTACAGCAGAAAGTTTAAATGATAAAAATGATATTGTAAATCACACTGGTAGTTTTTAAAGCCATGTGAAATGAATTGTTTTATATAAATATGACCAAAATTTACTCAAGAAGCAGAAAGACAAAATTTTAAAGAACTTTAGATGAAACAGAAAAAAATATGTTATCCAAGTATTTCAGATCTGGATAGCTTAACAAGTGAATAATAAGTCTTCAAAGAGCAGAGACTTCCTACCTAATTTTTTTTGCTCCGTTAGGGCAAAGAAGTGGAGAAGGAAATGGCAACCCACTCCAGTATTCTTGCCTGGAGAATCCCATGGACAGGGGAGCCTGGCGGGCTACAGTCCACGGGCTCACAGAGTCAGATACGAATGAGTGACTGAGCCGCGGCAGGGCAAAGAAGAGGGTGGGGATCACCCTGATTCATCTTAGGAAATTGTAGCCTTCTACCAGTACTAAACAAAGGCTGCCCCAGAAGTTAACTGCTTTTCATCATGGGTAACTATGGATGTAAAAATTAATAAAATTCCAGCAAATCAAATCCAGAAGAGTAATCTTTAAAGACTGCATCAAAATCACAAATGATTTATTTCAGGAATGAAAAGAGTTCAATATTCAGAAATCTGTTAATATAATTCACCCACATCAAGGAAAGAAACATCAATAAATACCAAAAAATGCATTTTATAAAATTCAATACCCATTTCTGAGAAAAACCCATATTGAACCAGAATACAAAGATATTTCCTCAACATGATAAAGAATAATTATCTCAAACTCTTGTGGTAAAAGAATTACCATTAAAGTCAGAAAAAAGACAAAGATGATTACTCTCTGATCTATTATTAAACATTGCTCTGAGAGTTCTAATGGATGCAATGAGAAAACTGGAAAAATAAGCCAAAGGGTAAAATGTTGAAGAATGCAAAATGACTATGTGAGCTCTTCCTATATACAAAACCCAAAAGAATTCATTGAGAAAATATAGAATTTAAGAGCTTAATAAGGGATTAGTCTATATATATACATATATATAAAAAAAACTCCAATGATATGTAATATATATATATAACTCCAATGATATATATATAAATGTATATAATATATATAAACACAATATACATAAATATACACACATTTATATATATATAACTCCAGTGATTTCCCTAGGTGACAGCTATAACCAAAAAATATCTGAATGGAGAATCACTTAAAATGACAAATTACATAAAATTTCCAGAATAAATTTAAAAAGAAATTAGTGTCAATGTATGTCAAAAACCACCACAATATTGTACTTATCTTCCAATTAAAATAAATAAATAAATTTTAAAAAAAGAAATTAGCAAGCACTACATAAAATTGGGAAAGGAGTATGTCAAGGCTGTATATTGTCACCCTGCTTATTTAACTTATATACAGCGTACATCATGAGAAATGCTGGACTGGATGAAGCACAAGCTGGAATCAAGATTGCCAAGAGATATGTCAATAACCTCAGATGTGCAGATGACACCACTCTTATGGCAGAAAGTGAAGAACTAAAGAGCCTCTTGATGAAAGTGAAAGAGGAGAATGAAAAAGTTGGCTTAAAGCTCAACATTCAGAAAAATAAGATCATGGCACCTGGTCCCATCACTTCATGGGAAATAGATGGGGAAACAGTGGAAGCAGGGTTAGACTTTATTTTGGGGGGCTCCAAAATCACTGCAGATGGTGATTGCAGCCATGAAATTAAAAGACGCTTACTCCTTGGAAGGAAAGTTATGACCAACCTAGACAGCATATTAAAAAGCAGAGACATTACTTTGCCAACAAAGGTCCATCTAGTCAAAGCTATGGTTTTTCCAGTAGTCATGTATGGATGTGAGAGTTGGACTATAAAGAAAGCTGAGCGCTGAAGAATTGATGCTTTTGAACTGTGGTGTTGGAGAAGACTCTTGAGAGTCCCTTGGACAGCAAGGAGACCCAACCTGTCCATCCTAAAGGAAATCAGTCCTGAATATTCACTGGAAGGACTGATGCTGAAGCTGAAGCTCCAATACTTTGGCCACCTGATGAGAAGAACTGACTCATTTGAAAAGACCCTGATGCTGGGAAAGATTAAAGGCAGGAAGAGAAGGGGACGACAGAGAACAAGATGGTTGGATGGCATCACCGACTCCATGGACATGAGTTCAAGTAAGCTCCGAGAGTTGATGATGGACAGGGAAGCCTGGCATGCCTCAGTTCATGGGGTTGCAAAGAGTCAGACACAACTGAATGATTGAATTGAACTGAACATAAAAATAGCTACTATCTTTTCTGACGGACATTAAAGAATTAAATAATAGAAGACATATCATTTCTGAAAAGATTTAAAATTCATTCATGTAAATATTTTGTAAGCACCTGTTACATGTCAGCTACTTTTCTAAGTTCAGGATACTACTCTAACAGTGAACGAAACATACAAATATCTTTTCCCCAATGGAGCTTACATTCTAATATAAAATTGAACATTTATAAAGTCTCCACCAAATTAATCTATTCATTTAATGCAACCCCATTCAAAATCCCAGAAGGAATTTTTTTGAGGTGAATGAAGAGACTTGACAAAATACTTCTAAAGTTATTTTAAAGAATCAACTTGTATGATGGCTGAGAAAAATTGCAAATGAATAATTAAAAGTATTTTATTGGATGATAAAACATAGGAAAGGTGTTTCTAAGCATACAGTCAAAAGCAGACAACACAAAAGAAAATAATAGATTCAACTCCATGGAAATTATTCTACAACACAAAAATATCATGAAAAAATTAAAAAGCAAAGGAGACACTGGAAAAAATCTGCAGTGTATTTGATAGGGAGTAGAGAAATAGCCTTACTTTATGAAGATTTTTAAATCTGTAAAAAAAGAATATGCGTGCTCAGTTGTGTCTGACTCTTCACTTCACCATGAACTATAGGCCATTAGGCTCCTCTGTCCACAGGATAGTCCAGGCAAGAATACTGGAGTGGGTTGCCATTTCCTCCTCCAGGGGATCTTCTCAATCCAGGGATCAAACCCTCATCTGCTATGTCTCCTGTATTGCAGGCAGATTCTTTACTGCTGAGTCACCAGAAAAGCTCAAGAAAAGAATGTGCAAGTAAAAAATTGGCAAAGGGTGTGACAGGCAATTTACTAGTGATCTGCAGTCTGTTACTACATTTCACTCTGATGATATGATAGGTGATAAATAGCACTTTGTGTTTTAGGGTGCTTTTATTTGAATACTAATAAGATTGAATATTTTCATATACATATTGGGCATATTGGGTTTTCTTTCTGTCATGTCCAATATGTATACGAAAATATTCAATCTCATTAGTAATCAAATAAAAGCACACTAAAACATAAAGTACTATTTATCATCTATCATATCATCAGGATGAAACATGGTAACAGACTACAGATCAGGGTGGAGGAAATGGGCACTCTTGCATTTCTGGTAGCAATGTAAATTCGTTCCATCTTTCTCCAGGGTAATTTGTCATTATGCATGACAATCTTTAAAACATGCATATGATTCAATCTAGCAATTCTACTTCTAGCAATTTATCTTAAGAAAACAGCCATGGATTTAATCACAGATTTATTGACAAGAATGTTTTTTGAATTGTCATTCATAATAGCAAAAAGTTGGGAATGACCTAAAAGTCCAAAAATGGGAAACTGATTAAAATAAACTATGGCATATTCAACCATGCATAGAATAGCATACATCTACCAAAAAGTATGTTATATAACAATGTTTCTTACATGAAAAATTAAGTCAAGATACGCTAAGGCTATAAATTTGTGTGTATAATGTGATTGCATTTTCTGCATAGTCTCCATGTATTAAGAAAAAAAGGCTGGAAGGACACACACCAACATTGATAATAAGAAATTCTTGGTTGTAAGGATACAGTTCAGTGATTTTTAATTCCCTTTCTTGATTATTTTCAACTGTAATCCTGTATTTATTTTACTAAGGGAAGTATTTTTCAACGTTTGTTTCTCAAAGATTGCGGGCAGAGCTTCACAGCCAAAGAAGATGGGTTTGTACCTAGCCTTGACTGCTCTTGGCCCCTGTCTATGGAGTCAGGTTGGCGTGTCCAGTGGGGCATGAGACATCAGCTCCAAAGACCTCCTTGCGTCCCCTCCCAACTCCATCTCCAAAGGAGTGACTCCAGGGGACTGAGGAAAGAGCAGCCTGAGAGCTGGATGGTAGGAGAACACTAGGATTTTCTTAGGTTCTGTACCCAAAGCTAGAGCGACAGGGAGCCGAATTCTCACTCTCCACTGTCCACGCCGGGGCCTCAGGCAGAGGCCACCTTGGGTTACAAAGCTCTACCTTTATGCTAATCCCCTTATGAGGGGTGGGGGTGGTGGGGTCATACCTAGGCTGTCCTGCCTCTCTGCAGTGACACTGGGTTATGCTACCCCCTCCCCCAGCAGAACCAGGACCAAGTTCTCCCTTCAGTCTCCACCACCCCCTGCCGTCCTAGTTCTGGGCATGAGGGATCATTCTCTGTGGGCCTTTACATCACAGCAGTATTAGAAGCAGAGCCAGGTTCTTCTTTCCCTGCTGCCCAGATCCCCCAGGTCTGCTAAGGCAGATGTACCACTCACTTTGTAGCCTGGCAACTGAGCTGCTTATTACTGTGCCTTCCCCCCACCCCCCACTTCCTCCACCTCTGCTCCTGGCAGCTCCCCAGTTCCCCACGTACTCATGGAAGATGTTGGGAAGACTGCGTGGGAGGTGCTGGCCATGAAGTCCGCGATCTGCCGCAGGGCCCAGATGTTGGAGGAGTTGTTCCCCTTCTTCATCTGCTCCTGGATGAGGCCTTCCAGCTCCTCCCTGAAAGACTGAAGCAGGCCCCCAAGGCGTCCTCCCAGTGTGTCTCAAGCGGGAGGGATACTGATGGCCCCTCTTCCAAGTGTCCACCCATGGCCCCTGGATCAGCTAGATCAGAGCCACATATCTGGGACCTCAGGAGCCTCCCCAAACTGCTGTGTGGGGAGCAGCAAGGAGATGCTGGGAATAGATCCTATTCCCTTTATCCTAGGGGCAATACTCCAGAATGGATTCTGGTCCTTCTGATGTCTTAGTGATAGCCTAGACCCCTCCCTCCATCAGACATAGCAGGACTTCACTTTAGTAATTAAAAGACATTTTAAAAAGCAGAATTGAATGCAAAAGTATGCCATCTTTCCTGTCCATTAGTCAGACTGATGGCTCTTCTGGGCCTCAGTTTCCTTATGAGGGGTGGGGGTGGTGGGTCCTATACAGAAGGAGTTGATGACCTCAAAGGTCACTTCTGATGTCCTGCTACTCTAAGCCTGGCTTTTCAGACCATCAGGCCATGGATAGGGCATGCCAGCCCATCAGGTGACACTCAGGAGGAAATAGGGAGCCACTTAGGTGTTGAGGAATCTACAAAAAAGGACAGAAGCAACATGACTGCCTCTTGGCCTGGTCTCCTGCCTGAGAATAGTCCCATCCTTCAGGTTCCCAAACTTGGGTTAGTACTAACTCTGCTCCTACCACACAACGGCCACCCCTTCTGGTCTCACATAGGGTTTCTGTCATCCCAATGCATTCTCTTCCAGACCCCCCAGCTCACTGTCACCTGTCACCAAGACCTGGGGCCCATCCTCCTTAGCATTCACCGTGTGCTCTCAGCCGGGTCACACACAGCCCACTGCATGCCCTGGCTCTCCAATACCTTGGTAGGGACTGGGGCAGAGCCCATCCTGGCCAGTACCTGGAGATGCCACTCCACCCTGGGCTGACCAACACTTAGGATCATGCACTGTTTCCTGAGGACCGCACAGCTCTACTCCCTGAGAGACCCATTGCCTCTGTCCACACTGCTCTTCCTCCAGCTCGGAGGGCCTGCATAACCCTCCTGCTTCACTGGGCCAGGAGGCCCACCCTCCACCCTTCTCAACGCACCACCTGAGGAAGAGCACTGTGTCCATGCCAGGCAGGTGCCAACTGACCTCAAGACTCTGGCCAGGGCTGGGTGACCCGGACTTGCCCCTCTGCTCTCTACTCCCCGCCTCCTGGGGCTTTCAGGCCCACTTCACTCCTGTCTTGGTGTGGTAAAGCGTTATTTGCCAGGACAGAGTTCATTGCGGTGTGCAGAAAAAGCAGCCCCAGACCTCCCACGTGGCGCCTCTCGCCGGCCCCTGGTTTTCCGGAATTGTTAAGAGTTTTTGGTGAAGAGGGAGAGGAAGACTGGAAAGTGAGGCTCAGAAGGGGCACGAGGAACTGAAGTGGGGCTCCTGCTTCTCAGACCCACCTTCCCCAACCAGGGAGTCAAACACAAGCCATAAACTGCACATAAGCCAGGTTTTGCCATCCGCCAGTGACTAGGGAGAGACTCAAATACCCAGGCAGCCGGAGCATCTTGCTCAGAGCTGAAAACTGCTCCGTGGAGAGGAGTAATTTCACTTTCGGGTTCACCGGGTGCACCAGCGTCCTCCGCACCCCTCCCCGCCCTCCTCCCTCCTCCCCCGCCCGCGGGGATCAGACCCCCACTCACCGGGCTCTGCAGGATCATGGTGACGCGCTTCTTCTGCTCCATCAGGTTGAAGTCCTGCCGCAGGTCGGCCGCGCGGTTGCGAAGGCGCAGGTACTCGGGGTCGTCCTCAGAGAAGCGGTCGAAGTACTGCTGCTGGCCCTGGGCGGGCGGCGGGGAGGCGGCCTCGGGGACGGCCTCTTCACTCATCGTCCTGGCGGGTTTGCAGTCCACTCCTGGATCCCTGCCGAGAAGAAAGGAGGGTGCTCCCAGTCGGGGTGCACGCTTCCTAGGCCGGAGGGCTTGGATTGGGGGTGGGGAGTGGGATGAGGCTATTCCCAGGAGAGAATGAGCGGGGAGGCGGGTTGGAAGGCAGGGCGCCGCGGCTGCCGGCCTGTAGGGGGCGCTGATGCATCGTCCGACTAAGTGAAGGTCTGTCTGTCACTGGCTCCGCTCCCCAGCCCTTCCCCGCCTGACTCGCGGGGCTTGAGCGCCACACTCCGGTTCAGGTAGACTGGTCCCCCAGTGCGAGCGCGACCTGCAAGGCTTTGGGGGCGTTTTGTGATGCTTATCCACACAGTGTAAAGCTATTCACTGCGAGTTCGTACTTGATCTAAAATGTAAACCCTCTAAGAAGCCTCCTAAAAAACATGCGGTGGGAATCCGCGAAAGTGAGAAGAGAACCGGGAACTTCTAACAGGCTGAGCGGTAGGTGCTTTCTTCCCCCACAACTTTGACTTTGCTCCCGCCTCGGGGAAAGAATTACTGGTGAATCTGTTTCTGCAAAACGTGTCTCATTGGAGAATCATTTCTTATTGTGAATTGAAAGGAGGTGTTCAGTTTTTATTAGTGGAAAATGAGTTTCTCTAAACCCCAGTAAATGAATATTGAGAAACAGTGAAAGAAGGAATACTGATTGAAAGGCACGATACGCCGGGCTGCCCAGAGGCCTGCGTTATCTGGACCTGGAGGGAGAACTAGGGCCATCCTTGGAAGGTTGGGCTGGGGACAAGTCACTAATTTTTTCCACTAAAGCAGGCTTTTTAAAATGCCTAAATGGTGAGTGAATGAAAGTCCTTATGGCCATATTGGAGTCCTGCTGAAGCTATTCAGCCTTGGCTTCCCAGCTGTGGGACTGTGGCCACCAGTCTCCCTTTGTGTCAGCGCTGCCAGACCCTCAAGTCTGGGTTATCTTGCTCCTTCAACATGCGGAGGGTGTGGGGGCTTACAGAACTTCAGCCTTCTCCCAGGCGGCTGAGCCCCTTCTCAGCAGAAGGAGGCAAGTGCCTTGACTGAACAATAACTAGTTTTTGAAGTCAAATAGGAAGATACCAACAAAAGAGCTTTACCTGAGATCAAGGTACCTGGCTTTCATCCTTAATCTGCCCCTCCCTCACTTTGCCTCTGGGGGCTCCCTTCCCGAAGGAGGTGGGGCTGCCATTGTTCACTCAAAGCAGCTCCTGGCCTCCCGAGACCTGATCTGCTCTGCCCTTTAGGCTCATCCTGTTAGCCCAAGCCTTGGCCTTCATTCCAGTCAGCAGCTCATTATGGAACAGGCCTTGTTGACAACCAGATAGCATATTCTTGTTGTCTATGAGAAGTCTGTGACTTCTTCTTCCATCTTCTGTCAGCACTTTACCCCTCTACCTTACAGTCCTTCTGAGTAGGGTAGGCAGGGGCACACAGGCAAGAGACGTAAGTGGGAGTCCATCCCATCAGTCCAGAACACTCAGGAGATTGACTGATATTATTGTTATTTGCATTCTTGTTCTTTGGGGAAGGCAAATAGCAAGTCCAAGGGAAGACAGATGGACAAGGTCGTTCAAGGGTCAGCTGAAGCTCCGAACCCTTGGGGTTCTCAAGCTTGGGTGCATCTTGGAATCATCTGGAGAACTTTGAAAACTACTGACATCAGAGATTTTAATATTATTAATCTTGGGTATGACCTGGCTATCAGGATTTTTTTTAAGTTCTCTGGGTGATTCTAATAGGCAGCCATGGTTGAAATACCATGAGAACTAGGGCCATCCTTGGAAGGTTGGGCTGGGGACAAGTCACTAATTTTTTCCACTAAAGCAGGCTTTTTAAAATGCCTAAATGGTGAGTGAATGAAAGTCCTTATGGCCATATTGGAGTCCTGCTGAAGCTATTCAGCCTTGGCTTCCCAGCTGTGGGACTGTGGCCACCAGTCTCCCTTTGTGTCAGCGCTGCCAGACCCTCAAGTCTGGGTTATCTTGCTCCTTCAACATGCGGAGGGTGTGGGGGCTTACAGAACTTCAGCCTTCTCCCAGGCGGCTGAGCCCCTTCTCAGCAGAAGGAGGCAAGTGCCTTGACTGAACAATAACTAGTTTTTGAAGTCAAATAGGAAGATACCAACAAAAGAGCTTTACCTGAGATCAAGGTACCTGGCTTTCATCCTTAATCTGCCCCTCCCTCACTTTGCCTCTGGGGGCTCCCTTCCCGAAGGAGGTGGGGCTGCCATTGTTCACTCAAAGCAGCTCCTGGCCTCCCGAGACCTGATCTGCTCTGCCCTTTAGGCTCATCCTGTTAGCCCAAGCCTTGGCCTTCATTCCAGTCAGCAGCTCATTATGGAACAGGCCTTGTTGACAACCAGATAGCATATTCTTGTTGTCTATGAGAAGTCTGTGACTTCTTCTTCCATCTTCTGTCAGCACTTTACCCCTCTACCTTACAGTCCTTCTGAGTAGGGTAGGCAGGGGCACACAGGCAAGAGACGTAAGTGGGAGTCCATCCCATCAGTCCAGAACACTCAGGAGATTGACTGATATTATTGTTATTTGCATTCTTGTTCTTTGGGGAAGGCAAATAGCAAGTCCAAGGGAAGACAGATGGACAAGGTCGTTCAAGGGTCAGCTGAAGCTCCGAACCCTTGGGGTTCTCAAGCTTGGGTGCATCTTGGAATCATCTGGAGAACTTTGAAAACTACTGACATCAGAGATTTTAATATTATTAATCTTGGGTATGACCTGGCTATCAGGATTTTTTTTAAGTTCTCTGGGTGATTCTAATAGGCAGCCATGGTTGAAATACCATGGATAAATGTTTGTGGTTGTGGCGTGTAACAGAAGGCATTCATTCCAGGGCTTCCCTGCTGGCTCAGCTTGTAGAGAATCCGCCTGTAGTGTGGGAGACCTGAGTTCGATCCCTGGGTTAGGAAGATTCCCTGGAGAAGGGAACAACTACCCACTCCAATACCCTGGCCTGGAGAATTCCATGGACTATATAGTCCACGGGGTTGCAGAGTCTGACACAACTGAGAGACCAAAAAAAAAAATTCATTCCAGGAGCTTACCATTTCTAGCAAGCATGCCAAGATGGCACAAAGCCTCTAACGCTAGTGTTATGCACCACTTCCCATGGCTGTCCAGGCCCCTTCCTGCCACTCTAACTATACCATTTACCACCACACTCTTGACCTGGGCACCAAGAATGGTCCAAATGCCACCACAACCCTCTTTTGCAAGTCTACAAAGCCATGACCTCTGGTCTTAATTCTGTCACTAATTAGTCAGCTCCTTGTGAAAGCTCTCAACAGATCTCCCCCAGTTAGCACCATCCTTACCAGCCATGTCCATGAGATGGAGGTGGGAGGAAGGGGTGGCAGCCAGAAACAAACATCCTCTAAAGAGACATTTTGAAACATATTTCGCAGGTTGCTAGAATGTTTGAGGTTGTACTTAGTGACATTAAAAGCCAGATTCTTCATCTCAGTAAAGAGTGAGTCTGTCAGGGATGTTTCTGGCTGAATTAGCTCTAGACTAGAAGCCTGCAGTGTTGCCCCAGTTCTGACATTCCCTTGTTCATGGACTCAGGTAAGTAATTTCCCTCTTTGGATCTCATTTTGTCCATCTTTAGATGGGGGAACAAAAAGAATGGACCTTGGGGCCCCATCCAGCTCTGATACTGTATGGAGAGAAACAGACTCATGTAGAAAAAGGCAGAAGGACGGAGGATCTAGGTTTCCTGGAGCAAAAGGCCTTCTACCCACATCTCCCCAGTACCTCTTCCTCAAGCCAAATGCCAAAAGAGAAACATCTTCAAAGAACACACATGACCTACTGATGACTGCCTTGCGGTTTCAAGGCAATCCCATGCACATGGGTTGAGTTAAGAACACTTCACCCGCTTCATGCTCCCAGCAAGCCTCATCTCTGGAACTTGGGAAGTAAGAACAGAGCACGAGGTCAAACATCATGGGAATGCATCAGAGCCATGCAGACTTGGGGTCACCACCCAGATTCTTCTGGGCAAACAGTGCAGCAGACCAAAATTCTTCCAGAGGCATTGCCCCCACATACACACACCTATCCATTTTCATTCTCTTTGGCACCGTCACAGCCCCAAATCTTTGATGTTATTTTTAAAATAGCAACAGGCAGTCCCTCACTGGGTACACTGGATGTGGGCATGGAGATCCCTGTGTTCCTTGTAACACCAACTCACCCTAGCTCCACATGTGTCTGAACTGTCAGCTTCTCTGGGACTGGCACCACCTGGTACTGAACCTGCCTGGCCTAAGTCCTTCTCATCCAGGCAGGAAAAGGCTGGTCCTCTCCCTTCCTTTTGGAGTATCTGGATTTTCCAGGAATCGATGTGTGAAGTCTCTGAAGTAGCTCTCTCCCACAAAGCATGAGGAATGAAGACATTTGGGGCCCGATGGACAGGAACCCCTAGGCCGGCCTTCACTTGTTAGAGCCCAGTCCCAGAGGGCTGCTCCACGGGGTGCTCCAGTGGGCAGGGGAGGAAATGGAACCCTGACTCCCTTACCATGACAGCAGGAGCCAGAGGCATCCTTTTGTGCTCCTTCCTTCCCTTCTCAAAATGCTGGGAGGTGATCAAAGCTGTGGGCAGCAGAACTTAGTGGTTAAAAGCAGGACTCTGGAACCAGACCATTAAGTTTAAATCTCAGCTATGCCCTTTTTTAGCTGTGTGATCTTGGGCAAGTTACCTAACCTCTCTGTGCCTCAGTTCCCCAGCTATTAAACAGAGATTGCAACTATTTAGGGATTTCCTGGTGGCTCAGACAGTAAAATGTCTGCCCATAATGCGGGAGACCCAGGTTCGATCCCGGATCTAACTCCTCCTTAGGTTGTTGTGTGGACTGGGTGAGTTAATGTACGTGAAGTAGTTCAAACAGTGCTTGGTGCAGAGCAAGTGCTATTAGCGCTTATCATGTGTCATTTAGGAGCTAGAATCATCGTAGCATGAGGAACGTGAGTAATGAGAGGCTTAGGATTCAATTGTAAACAGGTGCATGCCAAATAACTGTAATTATATGTTTTAGTCCCCAAACTAATTCAATCTTAAGCTACATTAACAAAAAGAAAAACCAGAAAAAGACTGATAAGAATGCTTTTTACTCTGACCAGATAGTGGGAACGTGTCAACCTGGAGAGCACAATAAAAGCATGTAAGCAGGGTGCTGAAGATCACAGAAGGCTGGTGCTTACAGGGCCAGGAGTGGCATCATAAAGAGTATGTGGGGCCTCTGGCTCCAGTTCCTGGCACTTGGGATTTCTAAAATGTCCAAAAGGCATTAGGAGTGTTTTGTTGGTCATAATGGGCCCCTTTCACCAAGCCTGAGCTTTTATGCAAATGGGGTGACATGTGGACACTTAGATATTTCAAGGGAGGGACTGGCCACTGAGAAAGACCGTGCATATAATTAAGGGATTGGAACTCAGCCCCATCCCAGCCACAGAGGGAGGAGAGGAGAGGTGCTGGAGATTGCTTTCAATCAAGTGGCAAATAACTAAATCAATTTTGCCTAGCAACAATGCACACCCCTATTAAAGAACCCTGGACATCAAGGTCTGGGGGAGCTTCCTGGCTGGTGAGCACATTTCTGGGCTGGGTGGTGACCGATCCCACGAGCAGGCGTGGAAGGTCTGCACCATGCCCTCATCCCCCAGACCCTGTCCTCTTTCTTTTGACTATTCCTGAGTTAGATCTTCTATAATAAAACTGCAATTGTAGTTGCAAGCACTTTCAGTGACTTCAGTGAACTATTCTAGGGAATCATAGAAACCGAGAGGGAGGTTGTGAGAACCCTCAAATTTATAGTCAAGTCGGTCAGAAGTGCAGGTGGTCAGAGAACCACACCTGCAGCTCGCCTCTGACGTGGGCAGAGTCTTGTCCATGACTTTGCTTTTTCTTATGTGCCCTTTTCACTCAGGGCAGTGTCAGAATTGAGCTGAATTGTAGGACATCCGGTTGGTGTCAGAGAATTGGTGATGAAACAAGCAACTTCAACTTGTGATTTATTTTCATTCCCAGGACAACTCTGTGAGACATTGTCCCCACTTTACAGATAAAAAGACTGAATCAGAGAGGTTAACTAATTTGCTGAAGATCACACAATGGAGTCGGGATTTCAACCAGGCCTGTCTCTGGCCCCAGATTCCGCATTCCTCCTCTCCAAATATCTGCTGGACTGCCATGTGGAAGAGGGATTAAGCTGATTCCTGAGAATCTCAGGGGGCCAGAACCAGGAAACCAAGTGGTTATTGCAGGCAGGCAGATTCTAGCTAAGGGTGCGAGGGTGAAATTTCTACCAGCAGGAGCTTCTCAGTAAGGAGAAGACAGGACAGGCTGCCTCGTTAGGTGGTGAGCGCTCTCCTTGGAGCCAGCATAACCACAGGATGCTGTAGAGGGGTCCTGCCCTATTGGCGTGGGACCAGTGACCTTCGAGGTCCTTCTGGTGCCATGATGGCTCTTTATTTGTCGTGAAGCATTGCTGATGATTGTTGTGCCAATCTGCACTGTACAGCGAAGTGACTCAGTTTTAGACATAGCTGCATGATTCTCTCAATATTCTTTTCCATCATGGTTTGGAGATCGGCTATAGTTCCCTATGCTATACAGTAGGACCTTGCTGTTTACCGAGTCTATATATAATAGTTTGCACCTACCAGCCCCAAATTCCCAGTCCATCCTTCTCCCCCAACCCTCACTCCCTTGGCAACCACAAGTCTGATCTCTTTGTTTGTGAGTCTGTTTCTGTTTTGTAGATAGGTTCATATGTGCCATATTTTAGATTCCACGTATAAGTGATATCATATGGTATTTGCCTTTTTCTGACTTCTTTCACTTAGTATGATAATCTCTAGTTGCACATGGTTGCTCTTGAGTCATTGGGATCAGGGGAGTTCATGGCAGTGACCTGAGTGTCTGGAAACTCACCCTGGTGAAATGGACCCAACCAAAAACTGTGTCTCACCCCTTCCCTCTCCCCCTCACCACCAGAAACTGCCGACTGATTACCAGGAGGTAGGAGCAGCCTTGCCCCAGGCTGCCTCTTCTCAGCACTCAGCCTGCACACTCCGCTCCACTGCCCGGCTCGATGACATCTATAGGACCTCAAACATCCGGGTAGAAACTGGAAAACACAAACATGACAGACATCAGGGTGTTTTCTGTACCACCACAGCTCTTTGCCCTGTTTTTGCAGCACCGTTAGTTGCTGGTTGATTTTAAGAACTGTTGGGGAATTCCTGAAAATGAACTGAAGATGAATTTTTATTTTAAAAGCAGGTTCTGTCTACACAAAGGTGAAGAAAGCTTCATTATCTTTACAATTGGGGTCAAAATTCCTTTCAAAAAGAGTTGTTGGAAAAATCCCTTTGCTGAATGTTGGCCAAGGGACCCCAGGCTTTCCCAGTGGCTTAGCTGGTAAAGAATCTGCCTGCCAATGTAGAAGAGGCCAGAGATGCAGAGTCAATCCCTGAGTCGGGAGGATGGCCTGGAGAAGGAAATGGCAACCCCCTTCGGTATTCTTGCCTGGGAAATCCCATGGATAGAGGAGCCTGGCAGGCTACAGCCCATGGGGCCGCAAAGAGTCAGACATCACCAAGCACGTATGTACCTACTACTGCCAAGGGGCCACAGGGGAGAGTGGCTGCTCTGCATGGTGGAGGGAGCTGAAGGTGGAACTCTGAGCAAGCCCAGAAGTGCAGACACAGCTGGGCTGGGAGGGATGACCCCTTCCTGACAACCCACTCCCCCCAAATACTTCACTAACAGCTCCTAAACCCACGCATGCTGGGGTGACTGATTTTCGGATGCAGCCCAAAGAGGCAGAAGAGGCCTGAAGAGTATCACACCCTGGGAAAGCGGGAGGGTTTTGAAGTTGCACAGACCATGAATTGGTGGATTTAAGCCAACGTCACCTAGAGTTCAAAGGGAAGGAAGGCCCCAGCTAATATCTAAGTAACAGGTCATAAAGGACTTGGCAGAAGAGGCCTGAAGAATATCACACCCTGGGAAAGCGGGAGGGTTTTGAAGTTGCACAGACCATGAATTGGTGGATTTAAGCCAACGTCACCTAGAGTTCAAAGGGAAGGAAGGCCCCAGCTAATATCTAAGTAACAGGTCATAAAGGACTCCTGAAGGAAGAATGTAAAGTAGTTAATGTCTTATAAACAATGGCGAGTTACTGATCCAAAAATCCTAGTCACTGATCCAAAAATCGTGAAGATCAAAGTCATCAAAGGGTTAATCATCAATATACTTTTTTTTAAAAATGTGATAGTTATGGTTTTTGTTGTTTTTTTTTTTACTTGGGGGTCTGTTGTTCAGACCCAGAGTTGCTTACCTCACCCAGAGTTGGCGTCATCCCCACCCCCAGATCCATTTCCACCCGTGGGTCTGAGGACCTGTGCTGTCCCGCCGGTCTTGTCTCATCCGCCAGGAAAGGAGGGTGCAAGGGGAATTCAGCTTGGGAGGTCTGACACGCCTGTGGGAGCCCGGGATGCTGAGTGACCTGAGGCATCACGGACCTCTCGGTCTGTCTGGGCACTGGGCTCAGCATTCCAGTGCTGAGAAGGCCCCTGATGGGTCCAGTCCTGATGCTCACCCCTCTAGTTAGGGTCTTGACAGTTGTTTCCAAAAGCTCTTCTCTATGCTCTGCATGTCCAGCTGCCAGCTGCAGTTCTCCTAACCATGGGTCTTATTTTTAGCTAGAAAACAGGGTCAGTGCCAGAACTTAATGCTACTTCCATCCATTGCCTAACAATATGGGAGCCCTGCCTCCTGGGGTTTGCTGATATACCTCTGGATGTGCTTTATCCTGCGGGCAGCCACTGGCCTGCCTTAAAGACCAATCCTGCAGCCAGGTAAGTTTTCTTATGTGGAGTGCCAGCTTCCTCCCCTTCACCAGCAGCCCCTGGCACAGAGATGAGGTTGCCCAGCCCTGCTAAGGCTTGGATTTTCAGAGTCTGAGCTATTACTCGTATCCACAGAGAGAATTAATGTCCCCCAAAGGGACCTGCTCCATTCATGTAAGAAGACAGACATCTGTCCCACAGATAAGTATACCCTGAACACTGACTAATACCCATCCTATCTCCATCAGTGTTGATATTCTACTGTTAGAGCTCCATTCCTTAGGGTATAGTATTAACCCTTGTTTACAATGAAAATAGCCCTGACAGGTATTGTAGGCAAATGTGTTATTTTAAACATTCTCCTCTGTTACCAAACCTGTCAGATCTCTAATTGCAGAGTCAGGCTGGGCAGGGCCAGGACAGGTACCTGATCAGCAAGTCTCTCAGGAAGTGAGGGAAAAAAGAGGTCTGATGCCAGGGCCACTCAGGAGAGTCCAACACCTGGGGCAGAGCTGGGCCTCAGGGGACCCTGGTCTCGGAGACAGAACCCTCTGAGCTGTGCCTGCTGTGGTTTCAAGGACAGGGTCACGATGCACTCCACTCAGCCTTTGGCGTCCCCAGCATCTGCTTCAAGGGCCAAGCTCACCCAGGTCCCGTGGGAAGAGCTAAGCAAGGAGTTCCCTATGTAGTGAGAAGGCCTGACACCTCCTGGGAGGCCGCCCCCATCCCACCGCCCCACCCTCACCCCAGGACCACCTGCTCCCTACTCTCAGGGTGTAGCTAAGCCGGCTGGGAGGCAGAACAAGTTAGGACACTGGATTTCAGCCCTAGCTGGCTGCTCGCTAGACTGTGGCCTCTGTCCACCCCACCCCTAGATGTCCCACAGCCAGCTTGAAAATGACCTGTCCAAAAGGACCATCAGTCTAGCCAGCCCTGCACCAGAGCCTCCCTCCTCCAGCCAGCATCCACCTCCCTGCCCCCTCCCCCCACCCAGCTGGCCATCCACCAAGGGCCCCAGAAGGCAGCCTTGACTCCTCCTTCTTCATGCCCTGTGTCCCTACTGTCACCAGATTCTCTGGTTTTATGTCCTAAATATCTTCCCACCCAGAGCACATCACCTTGAATCAAGCCAGTGTCATCCCCATCACATTCATCAGTTCAGTTCAGTTCAGTCACTCAGTCATGTCCGATTCTTTGTGACCCTATGGACTGCAGCACGTCACGTTTCCCTGTCCATCACCAACTCCCAGAGCTTATTCAAACTCATGTCCATTGAGCTGGTGATGCCATCCAACCATCTCATCCTCTGTCATCCCCTTCTCCTCCCACCTTCAATCCTTCCCAGC